CCAGACACAAGATCCTGGAGTCCGGCTATAAGAATAGAGGGTCGGTACTGCGTACTGAAAGCGACTAAAAAAGAAGAAGAGCGATAACCGCATGCGCCATGCGGGGAAAATGGGGAGCCGGGAAGGGTTAAGCTTAGTCACCAGACCCGCTGCCCTGGGTGAGGTGCCAGGTGAGGACATCCACATCCACATCCATTTTATGTGGCATTAAAGCCTTATCATCACCCTGTAAAATGATTGAAGCCTTCTGACCCTGGAATAACAGCCCCAGTGCCCAAAAATTATTTATCGACTCTATTTCGGTGCCACATGGCCGTCGCATGATGCGTCCCACCCCGTAGGGGATGCTACATAGCTATACTACATCGTATACTACGGAGTATGTAAAAATGTACCATTTTTGATTTCGCCTTGAAATGAGTCGCAGGACAAGTGGATGGATAAAAGGTCGCTTATAGCCAAGAAAATCCATTCTTCATAATGTACATTACTCCCAAAGGCTGGGCTTTGGGGTCCAGGGTTGTCTTTGTTGACCAGATGCTCATACACCAATTTTCAATTTTCATCAAAGGGCCCTTCATTTCTGAGTATGTCAGCATAATTCTAGTTAAAGCATAAGACCGGATTTCCGTACCATTATGGCAATCTATCGTGGCGCCGGCACGTACCTCTTGTGTGTGTGTCCCATGCACACCCACACTCGGCCTGTGACCCATACAGGTTCGATTGAAGAGGGGCCGTGCCAGCGAATACTAGATGATGTGTCCATTGTTTGTAGACAGGTTCTGGCAGGAAGGATGGGAAAAGGTTCGAATGAAACAGTGTGAGGTATTGAAAAAATGCGAGAAAAAGCAAAGCCCAGGTATCAAATGGAAGATCACAAGCAATGTATGCCAGTCAAATTTTATCGTTCCCCGTCCATTAGGAAGGCTTAGTCCCGGTCACCGCCAGCTTCGGGGCTGCGACTCCGGTTGGGGCTTCTGCTGCGATTCCGAGTAGCCCGGCCCTTTGGCCCTCCGTTCTTGTTCTTGCCTGATGGGGGCGGGCGAACAAAAGCATAGTCGACACGGAGGGTCTGTTCAAGGAGCTTGTAACCGTTAAGGTTCTGGATAGCTTCACTGGCTTCGGGGAGAGTGGAGTATTCAATCAATGCGTAACCCTGCCAGAATATTGGTGTTAGCAATCGTTTCATTGTATGTGAGTTGACAAGAGTTCCCATATTTTGAAGAGGATGTCCTTCAGGGTTTGTTTAGAGGTAGTTGTGAGATTGAGGATGCGCACCTTGACATAACCTGTTCGCCGATCAAGGTTCAAGCTGAAGTTTTTGATCTCACCATACTCCGCGAAGAGTTCAGTGACATCTTCCTCCGATGATTCCTCGTGGATATTAGATACGATGATAATCCATCCTTCGATACTGCGCACGGCGACCGCATTCCCCTGGGTGCGTGGCTCAAAACTGCGGTCCGACTGCTCGGGAGCGTCGTCGTGCGCGACAGGAGGGTCAATTTCCATCTCGTTCGACATATTGTAAGGTAGGATTGCAAAAAGGCTGGTGCGACTGTGTTGGTGTTATGCCGGGAGGTTTAGTCTGCACGTCTATAGCGGTCAATGAGCCCGAGTCTGGATTGCGATCTGAAGTCTGCAGAGGGGCGGTATTATTGGGCGGTCTCTTGGGCGGTCTCGGGCAACCTCGCCTTCAAAGGAAGCTTGCCATCACATGACCATAGTCTGCCCTTTCTAGTTCGAACGCTGATAAGTTCGAAACCATTGTACTAAATATCTACCAGAAAGGTGATATTGCTGTACATGTTTACCTAGCACTGAACACTACCAAATGTTGACTAGTAGGTGATTGCTATTTTGTTACATTGTTTTGGCGTCTTATAGCGTCCTCCTTTGTCTTCCAGAACTGGAATTTGCAACCCCAAGTCATTGTTAATTATATTTTTTATAGGTAGTAGAAATGTCAAGGGAGTGGAGATTTGTATTCGCTACCCTATCTGTTCTATATCTCTCAGCAAGTACAAAATAGCGATTAGCTGCGCTTGCTCGTATGAAGAAACATCAACGTTAAGAGACCAAAGAAAGGGAAAAAAAAAAAAAAAAAAAGAGATAAATAAACATTTGGTTGAAATACAGGGGTTATCGAATCACTGAGGGAAAAAAAGAAAAACACCAATTCTGGAGTTTGGACAAACCGAGGCCAGATTATCCAGTTAAGAAAGTGAATATAAAGTAGCTTAACGACGGTTGTTGCCCATGCCGAGGATCTGGACCATGCGGATAAAGATGTTGATGAAGTCCAACTCCAGGCTGACACATTCATTGACCACGTCACGCTTGATCAAGCCGCGCTCGGCAAGACGAGCATGGTGCAGAATCTTCTGCACGTCATAGAGAGTGAAACCACCGAAGACAGCAAGACCACCGTACAGCCAGAGGCGCTCAGACCACATCAGAGTGCGAACAGCAGTAGCAGGGAGGACCATGGGGGCGAGTCCAGAAAGAGCAACGATGGTCACACCGGCAAGCAGGGGACCACCCAGGTAAAGGTACTTCTCCTGCTTGGCAGTGGCACCGACAAAAGCGATTGAGCCCATCATACCAACAGTGTAAAGACCAGCACGAGCGAGAATGGCAGGATTCATGAACATCAGGGGGGAGAGAAGAGCGGCCTGGGTGAGGTTGAAGACAGTCCAGCAGCCATACTTCATGACGTAGCTAATTGAAAGGTTAGCACATTTAGTTTTCCTGGAAAATAAAAAAAGAGGCAAAAAACTTACTTATCCGGGGAAGTGTAGAAAGTACCGTACATAGAGCCGATGCTGCCAACGAGACCGACACCCATGACGAGCCAAGGGTTCATGGCCATGAGACGATAAGACCAGCCGCTCATGTGGAGAGCGCGAGCAGCAATACCAATGATACCAATACCAAGACCAGTGTGCATGAAAGTTTGATTCAAGTAGCTCTGCTCGTAAGCGGGCATACCGCCATCCTCTCTCGTTTCACGGTTGAAGATGAAGTTGGTTGCCAGAACCGTACCTCCAATGATGGCAGCGCCATACAACAGTTTCTGGGTCATGTTACCATTCTGTGTAGGGTTGACGGTCTGCTGCATGTATGTACGGCGGAAGGCATTTTGAAAGTTCTGTCGGGACTTGGCGAAGATCGAGGAAGAAACGCCCTGAGGCTTTGTTGCTTGGGTGGGCTTGATGGGAGAGTTGTGAATGAATCGGGCGGTGTTTGTGAGCTTGGGGACCTGGCGAAGTGCCGAGGATACAGCGAACGGGCGCCGTAGGAAGAAAGCCATGTTTGCGATGGGGAGGGTCGAGAGTCGAAAGCGAAGAGACGTTTAAATGTCGGGCCCACGGGTGATATGGAGGCGATTACTCATGTTCCGCCGGCGACCGCTTAAATCCGGAAAATTCCAGAATTAGTCACGTGGATCAAGAAAGTGGGATGCGTTTGTAGACTCACAGCGAACTCCAGGGCTCACTGTATTTTTTTTATCAGATCAGCCTGATTACAAATACGTCATCTTCTTTAACATTGGTTTTAGTTCGATTTCAGTCATGGCCTCAAGTCTAGAGACGATCAGCCTACCACATCTACCATTGCCTGTGCATGTTGCTCTATATCGCAATGTTCAAAATGCCGCCTCTCTGAAAGGTCGACTTCTCGCCGGTCAATCAGAATTCGAATATGCATTTATTGATGCAAGCATGGTATGTTAAGCTGCCATCGAGAACTAAAATAAAAAAAGAAGTAATTCACCAACACCAAGCGATAGGTTCTGTCAAGGGCTCATGCCACTGCTGCAGTATTCAGAGCAGTCAATGATTACATTCACGATCGACTGAAATCTCATAATGTGCATTCTGAGATCGTGTTTTCATTGAACCCTACGAATAATGTGGGTTGCCAATTCTAGGAATTAGCTGCAAGTTTGCCACTAAAGCCGGGACTGACACGGACTTAGATCACGGAATCATTCCGTAGATTCGGTATTTCCGATTCAACCAAAGACCTGTTGGTGATCAAGGTCTCTGTCTCTCCGGAGATAACATATATATCCGTTGCGGCCCACTTGGACAGCTCGGTTGAAGGAACACCTGTGCCTTTCGATGACCAGACACTATCCGAAATCTCTGATGTCAACAAGATCAAGAAAGCGTACAAGCTGGGGGCTCTGCCTTCGCCAACTGCCAAGGAGAACGACGAGGCTAAACAACGACTCGAAAATTCCTTGTTGAGTGCGATTGCTTTGCGGGGATCGTGAGCAATTGCCTATATGAAGCAACCAAATTCACTGCTCCCGAATTCCTAAAGCTTGCTGTGGGATGGGTGGGAAATACATTCATTTTCCAACTCGTGCTGTTGTTCTCCAATGTGGGATATATTGAGCTCCAAATTGGCTTTGAGAATATGCCCATCATCAGTCACAAGCAGATCGCATGGTTTTCCTGGGGTCTACTATTCTTCAACTCCGAGATCGGGTAGAGAATACCTCAGATTTCTCTGTCGAGACAGTGCACAAAGTCAAGGTTATGATGAATTGAATGAAATATTACAGAGATGCAACGGCCTGTTTTTATAGTTCGACGCGTCTGATCCTGGCCGTTTGTGTGATACAGGACAGTAAAAACAACATTTATTCAAATTGAGAATCACTTGATCCCGTAAAGGATTATACATAAATACATATATTGAACATGAATCCACTTTGTTGAGGTTGAATGTAGTTGGTTGCCCGAACTATGTACCCAACTCAAAAATTTGCCAAGACCGCGGGCGACCCTTTGACATCGAAATGTTGAACTTGGATCTCTAACACTACTTGTCCAGCATATCTGGCTTGCATACCCTTTATACTGTTTTATCTCAAGTATAAACGTTACCTAGGAGATGTCTCATTTAGCAAACTCAAGCAGTACACGCGACTCGCCCTGATCAATCAAGCAAACACCCAGAGACGCGACTCGCGACTCGCGACGATGGCCAGCATTGCAGATGTAATCATTCTGTCGTCCTCTCCAATTCCACCGCGGTCACCAGGGACAGCTAGGCTTGATGTAAAGCAGGTTTCTCACCTCTTGCCACGAGGTGAAACGCCACCATCAATACGCTCGACGGCCGATTTTTCCAAAACCCATACGCGTTCCCGGTTTTTTCCCACTCCGATCGCGAGCACCAATTGTCCCGAGGACGTGACGAAGCCGAGAAAGCGACCGACAAAGAAGGATCCTACTACAGATACCAACAACAAAACTGCATCGAGCAAACCGCGGCAGAAGGCGAAGAAAGCCGCGGATGCACCAGAAACAATTGCGCATGGGCACCCCCAACCAGAGACTCTTGGCACAAAAGACGATGCAGTGAAAACGACCAAAGGTCGTCCTCGCAAGAATGCCAAGAGCAAAGATTCAGGAAACATGACTCTGGCTGGGAAAGTCACGAAAACAAGCGGCGATCCACCAGCAAAGAAACCCAGCAAAAGTGGGAAGAAGACGGTTGCCACAAAATTATCCTCCTCGGAAGATGTGCTTGCGAAAGTTACTCCCAAGAAATCAAATGCTTTGGAAAAGGATGAGATATTGCATTTGGACGAGGCAATGAGAAGAAAGATAGACTGGACACCACCAAGGGAGACCGCTTACAAGGAGATTGCTACAAGGAACTATGGTGGCAGCCAGGAGAAGGAGCGTGATCCGAACCTTACGGGTGGGTTTGGCAAGCTGCTATCCGATTATAATTACTCCGAGTCAGCTTTAAATCCTCGCGATCTTGTGCAGGATGCGAATGGCGGAGGACCAACAAAACGTCGACGGATAGAGCTGGTCAATCCTGAAATCCAAGCATTGCTCAATGGAAGGTACTCTGATTCAACTGATCAGACAGCTGCTCAAGGAGAGAACATGGCATCGACTCAGCCCAAAAAAACAACAACCAAGGACAAGCCTAAGAAGTTTACCACCTTGACGGCGCGCATGACTGCGCAATATTCAACAATTGAAGCAGAACAGAATGAGCCGGTGATTGATTGCCTCCAGGACATGGGAACGACAAAAAAAAGACGAAGAAAGACCAAAGAGACAGAGAAAGAGTCTTTGTTCACTGTGCTTTCCCCAGAAGCAGCTGTCGAATTCCTAAATGATCAAGAGCTTGTATTTGGTACCTGCAGTCAATTGGAAAGAGACGATTCGCCGCAGACTCTGCGAGAAACCCAGCAAGCCATTTGTGCCTCCGAATGTTTGTCATATCCAGAGGGGACGCGCAATAAGAACTCCAGGGCGATCCAAGAATCATCTACTCGTTCTGTATCAAGGCTGGCAGGTACCAGAAATCTGTGGTGTGTCGGCGCCAGAGACACCGAGGGATCTTTGATTCAACCAGAAATACTAAACATGGTTGACTTGACGGGCGAGGGAGAACCCCCTGTAAAGAAGAGGCATGAAAATGTGGAACGAGCAAGCTACAAACCTCTGCAGGGGGGCTGGTTTGAGCTTGAATTTGCCGACATAGATTCACCCCCAGCACAGAGACCATCATCGCTACCATCGACCGAAAGGGGCTTGGATTCTGATACGCAGGCTCAAGCTTCGGTCCAATCCCCGGCACCTACAGCTACAGCTACGGCCATGCCAAAGGCTAGGGCCAAAGCTGCAAAGCCTGCAAAGCCTGCAAAGCCTGCAAAGGGACCCGATAATACCCCGACTGAAGCGGTTGGTTCCCTGCCAACTGCGTCGCAGGGGCCCTCAATGCCACGATATACCGGATTTACAGACGCAGAGTTGTCTAAACAGGTTTCCACTTATGGCTTCAAGGCAGTCAGGGGTCGCAAGAAGATGATCGATCTCCTTCAACAATGTTGGGAATCGAAACACGGTAGCAATGCTACTTCTGGTAGCCAGATTAACTCTGACAGCCAACCTATATACCAACCCGAGCAACAGAAAGAATCTGTCTCTAAAATTGACCATGTTTCAAATCCCGCCTCGGATGCGAAGGTAAAGGCGACGGTGAAGTCTAAATCTGCAATATCTGTAGAGAACCGAAAGTCGCTCGACGCGACAAAATCACCTTCTGCCTCGCAAACCAATCTCCAGACAGGCCCAAAGAAAAACTCAAGAACGAAGCCTATCACTGGGGCCTCTACATCGTTTATTGATGTAGAAGAGATCCAAGACTCAGAAGAAGAAATCGTTCCCTCTCCAAGTCAAGTACAAAAGCACTATACCGATATCTATTCAAAATCCAACACAGGCAGCCGGGTACAACACCACTCCTTGGATATCCTCACGAAAACACCATCACCAAGTCCGACTAAGCGCAAGGTTGTTTCTTCTAAGATTTCAGTCAAAAGACCATCATCCTCTGCATCCATCACAACCACGCGCACAGCAGAATCCTCTAAAGAAATCAGTCTGGCAGATCTATCTGCACAGATTACCCAAGCTGTTCGCGTCCAGCCTCGGCTCTCGCCACTGTCAACGTCTCGTGGTAGCCGTGGTCGACCCACATGGCATGAAAAGATCCTCATGTATGACCCTATCATCTTGGAAGATTTCACAGCATGGCTCAATATCGAGGGGCTTGGACTTGTGGGTGAGGATCGCGAGATTGGCACTGCATTTGTCAGGGAATGGTGTGAAAGCAAAGGAATATGTTGTTGCTGGAAAAAGAATGCCAGTTGGTAAAATGGCGATGGTTATTTGCATTGCATCTCTATTTTGGATACCCGGTGTACGAGTTGGAATTACATGGTCACACTAAATATGCCCGTTGACATATCCTTTGGAATAAAATGAACAGTTTTCGTTTTCACCGTCTACTATAGGAAGTCTCTCGCCCTTTGCTTCAGTAAATGACGAAAAGTCCACAGTATTAAAAAAAAAAAAAAAAAAAAAAAAAAAAAAAGCATTTATGTACTTAAACAACGCATCTTGTCACCTTGTGCCATTCCCATTTTCTCGATCATATACTTCATCTCGGACAGGACAGGAAAAATGCAAGCAAGCAACCAGGCCCAGGATGTATGACATATTGTCTAAAAAGATAGCACGTGCAGGAAGGTGTCACAGTCACAGTAGACTATGGTGATGACTGGGGTCAACGACCGGCTGGCAATTGAGTTAGCCCTAAATCCCAAAAATAAAGAATCAGAACATGGTCCATATATTCCAATGTGAGATGTGGATTATAGAGGCGTGAAGAAATACATACCTCGTAGTGATCCATGAGAGTGGCTCTGTATGAACCATCCAGACAGGCCTGTAGCTGTGCGTTCTTCTGCTGAAGTTGCGTGATCTGCTCCTTCAGGTTCTCGGTCTGCTTTCTGAGTCTCTCGATAAGATCCCGCATTTGCCCGGCCTCACCACGCACCCAGGTCTCACCGGTGACACGGTCAGTGACTTTACATGGGATGTTGAGGACAAGGCAACAAGCGCAGCCTCTCGGATCTGGCGTACACTTCATCTTCTTGAGCTAGATATCCAAATACGTCAGTGTGGTGTTCTGAGTCAAAGCTAACGCGACATCAGATTATGAATAGGCGTACCTTGCAACGATCACAGGCTTGACCGACACGATGTTGAGACTTCGTGACCTTGGCACGCACCATGGCCGACCAGTCGGGCTCTGGATCATAGCGGCTGCGGCGAGTCTTCTTGGGCTTCGGGATATTCTCGCTAGGAGCGTCGTTGACGCGCTCGTCGTCAGGGATTGTAAAGTTTGGAGTATCCATGATGAGATTGGATGGTGTTGCTTCTGGAAATGGTTAAATGGTTTCTCATCTCGTCTTCTTATGCAAAGCACCGAAGAAACATATTGAGTCTGTGTTTGAGATCTTGGAGTACTTGCCTTTCATTTTCTAGGCTAGTTCCAGGTAAAAATCACTTTTCTTGTCTTGTTTTCTTATCTATCCAGAGAAACGGTCCAATTCAGATATAATCCTGAACACAAAGCCTTTGTCTATAGTAAAATCCCTTTGTTTGGCTTCGCTCTCTCAACAGACATAACAAAAGATTGGACTGTTTCGCCTTGCTTGCTTTGTTAGACGTAGAGATCCTCACTCATGGCCTCTGGATCAAGTACAGAGCCATTGTTGTATACTCTTGGCTATTTTGCACGTGGCATACCTCCTCATTGTCCTATAGACTGTCTTAGGCTTCTGATTTCTTTTCCTTTGCCTTCTTCCAATCGGTGTTGCTGATCTTTCTGATATTTTTTCAATGACCATACACCTTGTTTAAGACAAAATGGAACCTACCCCAATATAAAATGTATCTTTATATGGCCCAACGATGGTCTAATACTTGTCAAGACAATATAATTTCTTATATATGGCTATGCCCAATCGCGAACTTTTTATCAAACCCATAAACCCCATCTGCTCCATGGTTTTCAAGATCCTCCTCATATGCATTATAATCTATGGGTTACCATCCCCAATGATGTATAAAATATAATAAAAACACCATCCTTCATGAATGAGAGCTTCAGGGATTCGATGGCTAATTGTATGACTACGAGTATCATCTGCATTCACGGCATAATAAATCCTGGCAGAGTGCAAAATTAGCACTCTGTTGTTTACCAGTATTACTTTTTAGGAAAATAAGAAAATAACTAATAGGTCAACTTGATATCCAAAAATAGCTGTTTGTAGATCATCTAAATTTTTAGCTCTTCACAGCCCCGGACCCCGAGCCACTACTACTGCATCATCCTAAGTGCTACATTAAACTTGAAAAAAAAGGTCAACATAACATTACAAATATGTGAAGAATGTGAGAGGGATAAAAATGAGATTTGAGATAAAATAGAAGAATAAAATTTATAGAAAATGGTGTAATGCCAATTTCTCCCAGCTCTACAAACATAGTAATATCAAATCCAATGCTGATCATGACAATCGTGGGAGCAAGAGTCGGGGTTGGAGAGTCGATCTAATTGATCTTAGAATGAGAAGTAAAGAAGTAAAGAGACCATTGAAAGGGGAAAGAACAAAGTCAAGTTTAAAAGGAATGAGTAATGAGGGTTTGAGAAGAAGTAGAAGAAGGGAGAAAAGAGAGAGAAAAAGAAAGAAAAAGAACCGCCTTGAAGCTACAAGGCCCCTTCCTCATTGTCAGTCTCCAGCTCTAAGGACTGGGCTCGAGGTCGTTTTCGAGACACAGTAGGTGTGACAGGAGCAGGATCAGACATAGCAGATGGCGATTCACTTAAGCGATCACGATGTTGTTTTTTCGTGTCTAAAAGCCGAAGTTGAGTTCTGCATTGATCTGGCGAGTACAGTCTAGTACCACCAAGTTCTTTCATCTATGAAGATCAAAAGACATATTAGAACGTTTCCTATATTATACGAGCACAGGGAATCTCACCTTGTCTGAAAGGAAATGGAATTTATCTTTTGCCCAGATCCCATGGACGTGGATCAGGAGTTTGATCTAGCGGACTTGCGTATCAGTACGGGCTCAATATAAATTCCAGCTCATACAGCTTGTTTATACCATATGTTACGGGAGGTACATACTCACATCTGATTCTTCCCAGCGCACCATTCGCTCTCGGAGCCGGCGGTGGAGACGCATCTGCAGGCGCGCTTCGGAGGCATCTTTATTGAATCTTTCCTGGAATTCTTGACGCACGATTTTCCAGGCCGTTTGCTTATCTCGCAGCTCCTCTACGAATGCATCTTCGTCTTCTGCTTGCGGGTCGCGCCGCCCACGGCCTGGAGCCCGAACCCTAGGGAGTATGTGTGGAGATGGCTGGATATGCTGGCGATCTTGCTCCATTCGGAGAAGGCCCTCTGGATTGGGAGCGATGCTGACTGGTGTGTTGCTTGGCTGCTCGCGCGAGGGCGTACCTGCGGATGGGTATCTGGCGCGCTTAGCTGGTGGTGGGCCATGTGGCGACTGACTAGGCGTTTGTGTCATGCCATGGGGGATGCCGCTTGGATCCGGAGCGTACAGGTAGGCAGAATTGGGTGCCGAAGACCGGGGGAAGTCACTCGGGAAGGGTGCAGAGATACCGAGACCCAGTGGGGCTGTCATGAGATCATTCATGCCATATTGATATTCTTGTGTGCCGTAGCCATGTGAGTGGTGACTGATTGCTGGGCTGAGACGAAACGAGCTGTCTGGAAGACTGATTGGTGTCAGAATGCTGGATGGAGCTAGAGGCTCTGTGCAGTACGGGCTGTTGGCTCCCACGTACGGGGTCTAGATCGTATATGGGTCAGCTCATGTTTCGGAAGCATACAGTGTTTTGTATCAGAAGTGCATATGTACATACCGCTTGGATTCCGGGCCAATGAGCTGGGATATCCTCATAGTACTCTGACATTTCCTCGGAGCAGGGAATACCCGAGCGATTAGACATGATGTTGACTGGCTGCACTCAAGCGGAACATCAAACACGGGGAAGATTCACAGTCCACTGCGTTGTCTAAGTGGGGAGAATAAACGCCGGGGGAGCAGAATATGAAACGAGATATGAAACTCGATGTAGGGGAAGATGTGGGACTGCAGGCGGCTGGCAGACTAGAGTGGTTTGCTGAACAGTTAGGGTTGTAGGTGTATATCAATAAGGCCTTCCACTCCAAGGATGTTGAAGAAAATATTCACATTCCCAACCATCGACGATAGTTGATTTTATAAGATTCATGCGAGCAAGAAAAGAGGGGAAGATTTCAACAGCAAGATGCACAATTCCGCCTATCCTCCACTTTGAGCGATATCACAGCCAGCACCGGGATGCCTCGTGAGGCAAGGTGTGAACAATCAGTAGAGGTATGAACTATAGGCTCAGAGGGCACCAAAACAGAGATCAGTACCGCCGACGAGCGCTGTGCCCCATTAGAACGTAGGGAAATTCATGAAGACTCGACGAGAGCCTATATTTAAGCGCTGCGGACTCAATAGTCCAATGTTGATATCCATATTCCGCCCCCATCCCTGGAGGGGGGGCTCAGACTCTGCATGGTGAATAGGAATTAAAGTCAGTCCGTGATTTCAGGCCCACTTCAACGGGCCAAAAAATAAAAATTAATTAATTAACAGGAAAGACTGGGCTACTTAGGGTTGTGGATGATCCTCCACAAAGGAGACAAAGCGTAGCGCTTAGAGCTTTGGAGAGATCCAGTGGACGGATTATGGAGGACCCCATTAAAAATCATAATGCCAATACGAAACCCATCAATTATAACATGGCTACATATTTCAATTTAGACAAAAACGTTCAACTGGCCCCAAAGTCGATATTGCCCCTTCATATCTCAAGTCAGCCTTGTTGACTGCCTATCTACGCCATTGTTTCATTTTGGCAGCCCCCACGAAAAAAAAAAAAGAGAAGAAAACCGCTCAAGTTGACGGTAGATTCCAACACACCGGTTGTGGGATGGGGTGGGAGGGATTACGCTCCTTCTCCATGCATTCTCCATGCATTCTCCATGCAGAGGCGTTGCTCAAGACGGGCGGCTCTCGACTGGCCATAGATGACCCAAAATTATTTTGAGGCTGAGAAGACCCCACGCGCCGCTTGGTGGCTTTGTCCACGGAGAATTCATGACCGCTGGTTAAGCGCTGATGCAGACACCCGGTAAACCCCGGCCATCTCGAAGGTGCAGAACAACCTTGGAACTTTCTTTGTGATTTTTTTTCCATTTTGTTTTTCTCTTGCTTCTGTGGGGATCCTATGTTGTAAGCAAAAAAAAAAAAAAACGTCATGGTTTTTTCTTTTCGTTCTTTCTTTCTTCGATCTCAAATCTCCACATCTCCGGTGATCGTTTGCTTCCGGGGTCAGCTCTTCGAGCCACGTCCTGCCTCTAAGCGCCCGAGAAAAAGCCAGTGTCTAGACCTTGAATCATACGCTCACGTTTTTTTTTTTTCTACACGTCACAATTTCGGAGAAACATTGGAAGTTGATAGCTCCCATGTATCTTTCTTGGGTTAGGAAGCAACTAGTTGAAAGAAACTTGGCTTTGAAGATCAGCGTTCCCTTCCAGGTGGAGCAAACGCTTGAATTTCGTAGACGCATATTGAGTATGGATTACTGACCATTGGCTCTTTATTTTCTCACTTTGGTGGCTTTTGCTTCTGGGTTATCTTATGTGATAGCTACATGCATATTTATTCGAGATACTCTCGTGGGGGCCAAAGGCTTCTTTGGGTATGAAATGCGGAGTCCAGGAGTGCTCCGAGGTCATCCTTAATGTAATATTCTCCCAAGACCGCCCCCATAAAAGCGCTAAAAAAAAGGCCCATCTCGAGAATCTAAGAACTATGTACGGATTTCTATACATATGGAGATTATAAAGGCAGTAAATGACTACAGAGTAGAGAGTACAAAGTAAATAGAAATCAGTATAGACAGCGGGCTGCTACATCAAGTGACCCCCGGTAGCAAGCTTCGTAAAACGGTGTAGTCTGAACAAAATGACCCACATAAACTTGGGGCTAGCACAGAGTACTACATGTTCTCATTTCCTAATTCTATCAAAAGGCCCGAGAGAGTTCAAAGGTGGGTACCGGGAGATAACCAAACTATAATAGCACTGGCGGATCTTTCCGTGCAACCCATTTAGAGTCCAGGCTCTGCTCAACATCTAACAACCAACTGGACTGGCATATAGATATGCTATGCTGTGAGCGAATCTGCCCATAGCAAATCATCACTTAACGAGAATTGTTCACCCGGTGATCATCCGTGTCGTCTTCGTCTCCCGAAAACCCATCTAAACTATCATCATGATGAGGTCCCTTACTGTGACCATTGGTTTCCAGAGTATCGTCAGCTGCAATGGAAACACCACGAGCGCCCCACCGGTTGTGGTTTGATTGACCATCCACTCCTTCCTCTTCGTCTCGAAGGTGCTGTTCTTCGTCCGCAGAGCGTCGCGATGTCCGGAAATTCACAACACGATTCACCAGCCAGCTATTCTCATAGTCCTCTGAGTCAACGATGCCACCATTGCGAAGCTTGACTCTCTGGCGCGAATAGTATACCCATGCAAAGTCGATATAAAAGGCGGTCTGTACAATTCCAAACACGACGGCGATCCAATCATCGAAGGGCTCATTGTCGAAGAGACGGACTATCCAATTGAGGATATAGAATGCTCTGTAGGAGCCCAGAGCAAGCAGGTAATATGAGTCGATCACCGTTGGGACAGTGGTCTGGCGTAGGAGAAGGAGCTGCGGCAAAACACACACAGATTCAAGTATGATGGAAAAGGCCCAGAAAAACTAAGTCGTTGGATCAGTAAAGCTGCGAAATATGAATACTTCGGGCCGGTCCAACTTACTTCAAGGATCCATAGAATGTAAACCTCTTTTTCGAAAAGCCAGATTGAGATAGGTGCCAAGACAACGGACCCAGCCACAGACCACAAACCTAGTTTCCAAGCTCGCTCCGTCTCTCTCGTCCGCGGGTATACCTTCATCATCAGGGTTATCAGGTATGCGGACGAGGTTATATAGAAGAGCTTGAAAAACACATTCCAAATGGCGTGCCATGTCCGGACCCTGTACGTGATGGGAAGAAGCAGATCAAGATAGCGAAATATGAAGACGACACCATAAAGCAGCTGTGTGAGGAGTGAGATGCCTAAATCAAATACCTATGTCAGTAATCTTTACAGAGGACCTAGGTAGCTCCAATCAGATTGATACAAGGATGTACGAACCCTCAGCGCTCTTATTCTTGTGGATAGCCCAGAGTAGGACACATATTGACCCTAGATGGGACAGATCTCCGATAATGCGAAAGATGTTCCAGGTCGACATGGCTGGAGGGGGTTGGACAATCAAACAGTGAGTTGGACGCGGGGTGTGGACACCTGTCAAGCTATCACTATCGAAGTCGGCGCCAAGTATCGGGCAGAATGGGAGAATCAAGGGGTATCAAGTAGACTGGAAGAGAAATAACTTTGCGTATATACGTTCCTCCCCAATGAGATTAAGGTGCAGGGAGGTGCAATGAACCTTATAAGGATATTGGCGCTGTTGGAGTGACTGGGGAGTTCGTTATCGGTGATCCACATGAGCTCGGGCCGCGTGTCCTTTCACGTGAGGTTGACGTCAGTGCGTAAATTGGAAGCTCTGGGGTTGAAAAAATATGGTGAATTAATTTTACTAGATGAAAGAGTTGACAACATTCGGCTCTATGTTGGTGCCTAGTATCTAGTTATTATTAACATGTGCTGTTCAACATTGCGGTCTCGATGTATATATTCGGGGATACTGACATGTGGAACTTGTATAAAACATATATAATTCGATGATTGGACCTTGGAGAAGCCAACATACCATAACCAATGCTACTCTTAGCAGACCATATAGCTCAGAGTTTACCAAGCATCCTTGGAGGAGATGAATTAAAGAAACGAAAGATGCGGGGATATTTAGAAGCAAATGCTATGAGGGCGTACGGAGTACAACTCACTCGATAGATATTCAAGTTGTCGAAAGTTGATTCAAGGCTCTTAAGCTTCTGGAGTAATACCAATGAGCTAGGATTCCAGTTAAAATCAATATCTGTTTATTTGCCCTGTTGGCCGTGGTGGATTCGGGAAGGCCTAGATGCTCTAGGTGATGCAGGCGACGCGGTAAGATCCCCAAAGCAGATGTAATCGCTGCAACATGAGCAGTAGACCATAATCAGTACTGTTCATGCTCCCGGGAGCAATTGAGCTTTGATTTATTAAGAACGAGGTTTGGCCTGGTAGGACTGACTTTAGGTTGAAACGGTTTGACCGGGTAAAAACAGCAAAGAATTGGTCATATTCAAGAAGTAATTTTGTTTTTGGGCCGAGTAGAATCAAGGATATTGGAACTGTCTGTTGAAGCACAATATCTTTTCGGCCGGGTTGGTCAAGGAACCTGATATTCCCAGGTTTGATAGAGAAACACTTCCTGTTTATTAAAACTGGTGATGCAAGTCATATTTACACCCAGAAACTCTTGGCGGTACCTATTTGCATTGATAATATGCTGCACCAGGACATTCAGCACACCTGATCCTTTGCATGCATCCTCAAACCTAACCGGAGATACTCGATCATTACCACTTGATATCTCCTAGTCAATTGATAATGCCAGGAAATCCAGAAGTCCTGGTCGGCTTGGTCATTAGTAAACTTGTCGATTATCACCAATTGGAGATTTAACAGGGGGGTGTGTGACAAAGAAAATGCCAGTAAGATTCTGAGAGGCTGGGCTTCTTGAATATATACACGTCTTGGATGAACCCCGCGCAGTACTAAGACAAAAATAAATGCTGATGCTGATAGGGTCCTCCAGATCTTTTACCCCATACCGCGCGTGCCCTTAATAACGACCTGCATGGGGGTAAAGCAAAGAGGGGATGGTACGCGGTGGCTTCACACGAAACCGTCTTGTGGCTGATCTAGCCCGCCAAGTCTCGGGTTGGACGGAGACTTCTACTTCTGTCAGTTGAATGTTGGTGATTGCGGGATGAATTCCCGGGGCCACTGGATGTCTTTGCAATAATTAGGCCCTCGGGCGCATCGTTGACTCGCATTGGGCGTGTCCTGTCATCCTCGCACGGTGTTGTGAGATCTCGCCGGGTCACCGGATTCTGGAACAGGCCACTCGCCGGTCTGTTCGGCCCAAATGTCTCATGGAAGCTGCCGGACATGGTTATCTTTGCTTCTGCATCTTGATGTCGGTCGAATTGAATCACAGGATGAGCCATAAATTGTGACAGGCCCCCTGTCCGGGCATCGGTTCCTAGGCTAGGGAAGAACGGGTTGTGGAATGCACCGGAGGGGGGGGAAGTGGTTGGAGGCGCATTTAAATCGACACTGGATTTTAATTTGATTGCATGGATAGTCTACATTTGATATAAGGAGGAAAAAGGTGAACATAGGGATAGAGAGAGGTAATAGAGGGGTTACAAGTAGGGAAATCTACCCTGATTAGAATGATCTCCAAAAGAAAATCAAAACATTCAAGTTAAATCAAACTATTTAGACCCATATAAACTATATAAACATATAAATCATGAAAAGCTATATAGACTACATAAACTAGAAATATCTAAAGTGCTATTATTACTTTGTTGTGATATGAGGTGACTCCATCCCCGCTCCTTTCCTCACACTTCCTCTCTTCCTCCTTTCTCTTCTCTCTGTGACCTTGTCTCTCTCACTCTCTCTTTCTCCCTATCCTTTTTTTTTAAGTCCTGGGTTCTTTTTTCTTGGGGGTTCCTCTCCTCATCCTTACCTCCCCTCCAAACTCAAGCCATCCTCCCAGCCTCATGTTCTCCCCGTATTCGGAAGAATTCGAGGTCCCCGAATCGACGCTTCGACCATGCGATTTTGATCTGTGAGCTTTCCCTCGACCCCACCCAAACAGGAGTTAAAACACTCCGGTCGGAGTCTGGACTTTTCTGTGTCGCGATTTATACCTTCCTATTGTCCCTGTTACCTTTGTCAGTCTGGTTCTGCCTGGGATGCGCCTGTGTCATCGTCTTTAGTGTAACGCTTCCCGAGAGTTGACCAAGGCGCGCCAGTACCAGATCCTGCTAACCCCCCCACGCGGCCTTTTTGTATGTACAGATGAATCGGCAAAGTGTGATTGCAAACGCGTGTCTTTCACCATGTCGTAAGTCCCTTCGTCTGTGATCTCCGTCCGGCCTCCAGCTGCGGGAGGGAGACTGGGTTGGAAGTTCAAGTGCACTTGGTCGCGTTTTTATCATATTGCCTCATCTCATAGGTTCTATTCTCTGACTCTTTACCCGATTAGTTCCCCCCCCGACATCTAAGCGCCTCAAGACGTCGGCAACAACCAGCGCTCCCCCGCATATGCTTGCCCAACAACAGATCCATCCATTTCACCGCGTCCCAACCTTTGACGGCATCCCGATTCCGACTGCTCCTATACCTCAACAAAACCCCGGCGCTTCGCGCAAACGTCCTCCTTCTCCTTCGGGATCGTCAGCCATGATGGCAGCCTCAGGGAATCCTACGGGTGTGATTGATGACCCCAGTGCCATTCCCACGGTCGAGTCTACGCCCAAGAAAAAGGGACGCACAAATACCCCATGGACTGCAGAGGAGGAACAAAGGCTTAAGACGATGCGCGACGCCGGGCGCAGTTGGAGTGAAATCGCCAAGGTGCGCGCGCGCAGCTTTTTATAGGCTGAAACTATGGTTTGCTGACCTGGGCAATTTGTTTTTTTACCTATAGACTTTCCCGACCCGAACCGAGGGTAGTGTCAAGAAGCATTGGTATAAGGTACGCAATATGCGAATTTGGTAATACCATGTCTCGTCTTACTGACACCTTACGCAGGACATGCACTACGCGGAATTTGCCGAAGATGAGGTATGATCCCGATTTTCTTTTAATGCCCGTTGTCGCATCCGCCTCTGACGTCGCACAGTCTGTGAAGCTTCGTGAGGCGATCAAGGAGTACGAGGCAAATAAGTGGAAGGTAATCGGCCAGAAAGTGGGAAAGCCTGCCAAAGTGAGTATCGGGAGTTTCCTGCATGTTATTCTGCCATCTAATCTATTTTCCGACAGGCCTGCGAACAGTATGCCAAAGAGCATTTCAAGAACGTCTGACCACGACGCCTCTGATGAAGTGATGATATCTTTTTCTTAGCATCTTTTATGAATTTGGCATTCTCTCTTCCGGATCAATTCCAGAGCGATGCAAGTTTCATCGGCGGCTGCTGGAGGCCACTGATTTTACAAGGCAGATGGAGTTGGTGATCTGGATTTCAATCTTATTCTTGATTCTCGTTTATATGCGCTATGAACACCTGCGCCTGTTTTGCCATGGTTTTTTTTTCCCCTAAGGCGTCTTTGATTTGACAAGCGCTGTTTCTTTTTTGCGCTTTTGTGTCCATCAATACCACATGATTCCCACTTCCAGTATGAGGAAAATAAGCAGAACAATTCCTTGTATATGTAAATAGTACCTGTATGGTCGGTAAGGTGGAGGCGGGAAAAGCTAGAGCGGGCGATCTTGATTTTTTTCCCCGCGGCAATCAATTCTCCCCCCCCCCATTTTTCCCCCACTGGAAATTGGCTATTTTTCACATTAACTGTGACCTGATTGTTTTCGAATTGAAGAGCCCCGTCAGATTTCAAGGTAAACTAACCCCCGTGATTGCCTGATGTTGTTAAGCTGACGCTACCCTTCATAGTGACTCATCTCGGAAGGTAATACAACCTGTTCACAAGGGACAGCTACCATGAAGACGAGTAGCGTGGTATTTTCTCACGATCAAGGTATCTAGGACAAATCTCCTGCATGAAGACCGGTGTTCGACAATTGTCGTTCTGAGAATATACGGTTGAACTTGATCTGGGTAATTCCAGCGAAAGGACTCAATGCGCTTTTTCCTCTCCTCGGCAATTGGGTGTGATACTAACCGAGACGCAGCATGGCTTCGGAAAATGAAATCACTGCCCTAGCGGTGCACTCCAACAAGGAAGACCTGAGGACTGAAAACCCCGGCGTCGCCAACAAGGATGCGGGAATCTACGCCGAGACAACGACCAATCGCCGCAATCCTGTCGGATCACGATTGGGCTCCATTATTAGAGCTTTTGAGAACCAGCTCGTCGAGTATAACCTGGAAGCGCGGGGTATTGAAAGAGTCGCCGTGGATGAGCGCATGAAGCGCCTCACGTGGATGTCGTATCTGCAAGTCTTCTTGCTTTGGATCTCCATCAACCTTGCGCCCAATAACATTACCCTCGGGATGTTAGGGCCTGCCGTGTATGGCCTCAGCTTCCGGGACTCGGCGCTTTGTGCTGTCTTTGGTGCCTGTATTGGTTCCATCGTCTCCTCCTGGATGGCTACATGGGGGCCCGTTTCTGGGATTCGGACATTGGTGCGTAGTACATAATGAATCTGTTGGGCTATTATTTGATTGAGAGGGCTAATTGGCGATCAGGCCTTTGGAAGGTATTCAATGGGCTGGTGGCCTAGCAAGATCATTGTTCTACTGAACCTTGTTCAGATGATTGGATACGGCTTGATCGATTGCGTCGTTGGCGGACAAATCTTGTCTGCTGTCTCCCCTGGCGGCATGTCTGTCGCTGTCGGTAAGTGGTCATCGAACCAGGCTACTCTATACACCAATAGTGGATACTAATATTGATATTATAGGCATCGTGATCATCGCGGTTATCAGCTGGGCCGTGGCCACATTCGGCATCCAAGTCTTCCACTACTATGAACGGTTAGTTTGAGGGCTTATTGCCACGAGGAACAGTGTCGCTGATGGGTCTCATATTAGATTCGCCTTTTTGCCCCAAGTCATTGTGGTCTTCATCCTTTTCGGGGTGTCATCCGTGAAATTTGACCTGTCAACCACCTCTGTTGGTGATTCCCGGACAGTAGCTGGCAATAGGTGAGTCTGCCTCAGACCTACGCATCGGAACTTAAGTTTTCTAACATGGTTCTAGGCTATCCTTCTTCTCCATCTGTCTGAGTGCCGCAGTCACCTACGCCCCACTAGCAGCCGACTTCTTCGTCTACTACCCCGAAGATTCCTCTCGCACGAAACTATTCGGCCTAAGCCTGGGAGGCCTCCTCGTCTCCTTCACTATGGCCCTAGTCTGCGGTGTTGGGCTGGCCTCGGGCATCTCTACACACCCAGAGTACTCTGCCGCCTACGAGCAAGGCCAAGGAGCCCTAATCGTCGAAGGATTCGGCCCGCTACATGGCTTCGGCAAGTTCTGCTCTGTGATCTGTGCCTTAGGCCTGATCGCCAATACCGTCGCGCCCACTTACTCCGCCGGCATCGACTTCCAGATCCTCGGTCGTTACGCCGAGGCAGTTCCGCGCGTCATCTGGAATACCATTGCCGTCATTATCTATACCGTCTGCGCGCTAGTTGGCCGCAGCAACCTCTCTGAGATCTTCACCAATTTCCTCGCTTTGATGGGCTACTGGGTTGTCATCTGGATTGCCATTGTCCTCGAGGAGCGGTTCATCTTCCGTCTTCGCACTGGGTATAACTGGGCGATCTGGCGGGATCCGTCAAAGCTGCCCCTTGGAATTGCGGCTTTTGCTGCCTTCATTGTCGGCTGGGTAGGCGCTGTATTGTGTATGGCGCAGGTGTGGTACATCGGACCCATTGCCAAATTGGTCGGCGAGTACGGTGCTGATGTAAGTTGAATCCCGCTTCCCATCATGTGTGTTTGATCCTAACTTATTACTCGCCAGATGGGAATTTACGTCGGGTTCTGTTGGACTGCCCTTGTTTACCCTCCTCTCAGATTCATCGAACTTCGCTTCATGGGTCGCTAGGCATTGGCTGATTGATATATGATGTCCTGTCCAAGTATGAGTTATCTTGCTTCTTTTTGGACGAAGCTTTGCCCAATGTTTCATTATCTACTTCCCGGGATGTTGAGGTTGCGCACTAATAACCCACTGCATTATTTTAAATACTTTAGATTAAAAGTGTTATATCGATAGACTTTCCTTCAGCACCATATGCTCGGCGATGGCTAGGAGTTGAAGTGCTACCAAACGTTCATCTATTAAAAAAAATAGCGTCTTTTTTCTGACCTCAGTACTCCTATCATCAACATCAAAGAAGGTCTACCAACAGAACCTAACGAGATCCCATCTCATAGTAACTACAAACCCAAACAGACAATCATAAGTCAAAAGTAAGAACCCCACCAACACACTCATTTCATCTACTAAAGCACTATAGTACAAAAGAGACAGAGGAGTCACCGAGACAGAACAGGGACAGACAGACACGCAGCATAATGTTCACACAGTATTGGGGTTTTCAAGCAATAACCAAACAAACCGGCATTAAAGATTTACCGGTACCAGTAGTCGGGCTTCACGTAGTCGGCGAAGGTCTTGGGCTCGACGTGAGGGGGGTGGTGGTGACCGTGGTCGTGGTCGTCTGAGCGAGAATGTTAGCACAACCAATAAATTATCATATACTATAGGTGAAAGACAGCGGGAAACATACGGGAGTGGGGGTCCTCCTCGGGTCCGACGTAGTTCAGCTTGACCACGTTGCCGCACTCGAGGCAGCGCTCAATGGGGCGCTCGCGGGAGACCTAGAAGGTGGAGAGTCAGTCTCTAGAGCTAGAAATATTGACCCCGTTGGGCTTGAATAGGGCGATCATACGGTCAGCCAGTTGACCTGGTGGGAGTCTACGGGGAAACCGGTGCAACCGGCGTACTGCTCATCACCGGCACCGTTGACGATGATGGGGTCTTCGAGTGTGCCTGCATATATCCACCCATTTGGTCAGCCAATGTCTCGGTTTTCGTCCCAAAGTAACGATCATGCGATTCCGCCAGTATTTGGTCATCCATTTATGATTTGCAATGGGAATTTGGGGGCAAGATTCATACCCTTGCGGGAGGCATCAAGGGGACGCATGTCGAAGATGTCAATGCCCTGCATCTTTCCGATGAGTTCCAGACGCTCAAGACCGGTGGCCTGCTCGATGTCGGTGGGAATGGTACCGGGCTTAGCACCAGGAGCGATGAGGTCATCCTCGGCCTTGATCTCTATATATAGGCAAGAAAAGGAAATCAGTATTGTGTTTTGCAGATATTCACTTGATGTAGAATGACGAGTCTGGCCCGTGGCTCGGGAAAAGTATCCGCATGACCAGTACCCGAAGTTTCTGGAGTCCAATTGCACGCAGATTCTCGAGCGGGCAATTATATGGATACTTCTCGAATGGCAGGGACCAGAAGAAAAGCAATTGACTGCTGTGGGGTCGGGTAAAGCACTAACCCTCGAAGGTCAGGATCTTGCCCTCCTGCTTGGGAGTCCACTTCTTCTCATTGGCTATATAAAAGTTTCGCGTTAGCTGGTAATCATAATAGATAGTCCATATCAATTGATTGCAAATAGCCCCTTGTAGTTGGGGTGCGCGGGGATTCGAGCAGTTGTGCGAAGGCCGGATCAGACCATTTGAGGAGTCACGTACAGCGAATGATGGAGGAAGAGAAGGGGCGCTGGGCGAGGGTGAAAGCGCGGGCAGGCGAGCGCCTTGCGAGGGCGGAGGCTGTACGTTGGAGGAACATTGTCCTGGAGTTGATGGGGTGAATGACGCGGGGCGTTTGGGGCAGGAGAGGGAGTTTGGAGGTTTGAGGTTGGGCGAGTTTGAAGCCGCTTTGGCCCGAGCGCCTGTGATTGGTTGATGGGCCATCCAATATGACCGCGACTAATGATGAGTCAGCCTTTTTTTTAATTGGTGGGAGCTCTCTATGGGCGGTCTGTTCAGCTAGCGGCAGAACGTCCGTTTTTGGAATACATAGGGCTTCTCTGTGTAGGGCACGGGGTGGCATATATTGACAATATCTTAGGCCAACACTACAAGTCACAGTACAATGAATAAGCTCCCCTAATATAGCAAAACAGAAACTCCAACATTATCCAAGCTCTTCAGCTCTCCGCTGACACGTCGCTGGTTGTACACCCGGCCCAAGCTTCCGGGAAATGTGCGTCCATTTATTGTACTCATACTCCCTCAGCGCCGCTTTCAGTTTCTGATCCTATCCTAAGACTTAGCACAATCCCAGTTTTTCAGTTATGTGGGGATAGTATGTACATACCAAATCATCATCCCAAACCACGACCCTTTCCCTCAACTTGGTACAGTAACGGACTTGCAATGTTTCTTTTTTTCGCCCTGGAAAGAAGAACGCAATATCATTCCAGGAAAGCTGTAACTCCTCCTTTACTTTTATCAACAGCGCATCTTCCCCGGGGCCGAATCTGGTCTTTGGAGCTTTTGGCGCGGGAAATGGTTTAGGCATGCCCGGACCAGTCAAGTGACTGCGGTCGACTTGCGGCAAGTATGATCCCGTGGTTTCAGAGCCTTGACCCGTAGCTGCCAATGCTTGGGGTGGTAGCCGATGATGGTGATGTTGTTGCGGGAGAGAATTTTGGAGGTAGTCCTGGTTCGATGACTGGCGAGAAGATGAAGCGCCGACATGATCAGCGTACGTCAAGTCGGTCGATCCGCCTGATGGAGCCGACGGGTCATCCATGGGTAGGGGTAGATTTTGCAAGATAGGCCGGTACCCGTAGTTATGATCAGTGCCTTCACTGGCCTCAGGCTCATTATCGATACGTCGTCGCTTTCTGCTACCCTGGATTGGAGAGAGCCTATATTCGTGTGTATCGTAATGCGAGGGCTGGCGTTGTAGGGAGTGGTCTGTGATAACAGTCGATGGAGAGCCATAGGTTGGCTGGGGTGTATCGGGGTAGCGAAATACAGGCCTATCTTGGACGAGCAACGGAGTTGCGCCGTAGGAAATGATATCCTCCCGGTTCGCATCTTTGCCGCTGTCGTGAGGACTGTAGTTAACCATGGAGCCTCGATAAGGTTCCGCTGGTGATGCAGACATATATAAGCAACACCAGGGCCTGCAGCCTCAGGAAGTGACTTGAGTGGCTGCTGGGAGGTGAACGATTCCAGGGCGCGTTTATTGCTCAAGTGTTTCTCTGGAGTTGAAAGGCAAAAAAAAAAAAAAAGCACCTCTGCTGTTGCATAGGAGGATGATGTGAAGAGGAACTTGCCTGTATATGTAATCGCAACAAAGAAGAAAAAGGCCTTAACGCGTTGACGTGCAGAAGAGAATAGATAGGGTTACTTTGGGTCAAATTGTAGGCAGGTCTTTTGGAAGAATCGGTCAGTCATAATGTATAGGATGAAATGACCAAGATTTCCTAGATGAGTGAACGAAAAATGAAGCGATGGAGACATCTATAACACCTGGAGAGCCGCCCTGAGAGAAAATCCAAACCTGTACCGGTGACCAACTTGGAGCGTGCGTTGCCGGGCTGGTTCCATTAGTCTCCAGTGGACCGGACTGGAAGAGGATCCTGAATCACTGTTAAGTTTTTCGCGATAGGCAGGTTGTATCCCATCTTTCCGATCTCCGAAGAAGTTTTTCCCGCTTTGCTTTCGCACAGACTCCCAAGTCCCCAACGTCAAGGGGAGGGGTTCAAGATAAAAAAGTCTTTTGAAGCGGTAGAACCTCCCATAAGTATTGTTGGAAAAGTACCTATTAATGGGGATAAACACCAAGCGTAAACCATGTGGACTAGGGTGAGTCCAGGGTCAAGATTCAAGAGTCGTAACGAAAAAAGACATGGCAGACAGGTGAAACATCTCAGACTCCGGGGACATGGCAAATCAAACAGCTCATTCGTCGGACCGATCTTCCACGTTGTCTTGCTGTAAAAGAGACGGACATATCGTATCGGCTGATTGTTACGGTATAGGTTAGTCGAGTAAGCGATGGCAAGATATTCTATTGCACCGGGTTTCTTCGGAGCCAAGACCTGCGGGAGTCAATCGCAGATGTCCAATAGAATAGAACAAGAGAACAGGGGGGGGGGCTGAAACACCCGAAAACAATATTGTTTGGACTTGCCATTCTATAAAGTTGGGAGAAGAGACAAAGAGATTGGAGATTGGGGTTAAGTTGGTAGTCACATCGAATTTTTAGCCACACCATCACATTCCCCTTTTCCCGTTAGATTTGTCCAATAATATAGATGTGACTTGGGCAGACGACCGAAATGTAGTTGCATGCGGGCTGTCATCTGTCAAAAAAAAAGGGTCTTGACGCATCAAAGCGGAGGGAGACCTTAGACCTCGATTTTAATCTTGCGGTTATATATATTTTGTTTTCGATAGTTTAGTCTTCGGATCTTCGGCTAGTATCTATAGTATTATTTGTCTGCACAGCCATCAAATCGCGGCAATCTTCATTGGGAAAGAGGTGATATCAACTAGTACTGTATTTTGAAGCCAACCGCATCCTCGTATACTTACAGGAGAGTTATTAAAGAAAAGATTCAGTGACAGAAAATGTATTCGCAAAAGGAAACTCGTACTGTACAGAAACAACCCACGGCTTTTCCTTCAGGTTTCTCGCTGCAATACATGAATTAAGGTTGTCGTGATACAAGAACCCAAGTGAAAAAAAAAACAGGGGAAGATAAAAAGACAACGCTGGGAAAAAGAAAAAAGATTTTGCAACGCCTGACCAGCTGCACATGATTACGCAAAGTTGTCAGACCGGTCAACCCAAATGTCTTCGAGCTCGGCGAAGTTTTGGAAGTGCAGAGGGCGGTGTTGGTCATCGTAGAACTTGAGCGGGGTGTCGATCTTGACGTAGATAGGTCTCTTTTCCACACTACCAAATGAGCTACCCATGAAGCTGTAGTTCCAGACGTTATCCTCAGGCACAAGGAAATAGCCGCGAATCTTGTCACTGAGGAGCAGCTGACACTTCTCACCCATGTTGGTGGAGAAGCCTTGGGGCTGATCCGAGGTTGTGTCCTTGTTCTCTGCGCCCCACTTGTAGCCCGCTGGAGTGAGACCCCAGGCGGCAAGTGAGACGGATCCAGGAGTGAAAGAGACGGTCATGGTCACGGTCTTCTTATCCCACGAAGGATGGGCGTTCATGAGGCGTGCGTGATGTGTGACATCCGCTGCTGACATGTACGGCGGCTCATTGCCAGAAACCGTATGGATGATACCGAGTGGCTCCAAATTTTGGAGATAGTCGTGCTGCGGCAATTGGTGTGGCAGCTGGACATCCCGGGTGTTACCAACTTGTGGAATCATCACAATGGTGCGGACCTCCTTGACTTGGTCATTGTCTGGGGGAGAGCTACCGTAGATGTAACCCGTGACCTGCACTCGGAGATCGGCGATGGTGATGAATCGCTTGAGGACGTTCTTAGGCATGATGTAGGTGTAGCCATCATCCCGAATGTCGTCAGAGGAGACATAGATGTTGTTGGCCCTCGTCCGGAGGTTGGAGGTCGCGATTGCACGAGTACGCCACTCTGTCTTGGATGCAAATGATTGCTGTTCGTACTGAGACGTAGTGGTAACGATGATGTCCTCACCACGAGCGTTCTGAGTCTTGGTTGTCACAGCAGTGAGCTGCTTTTGCTCTTCTTGCTGCTTCTCGATCTCCGCCGCCTGCTGTCGCTGCAAAGAAGGCGCACTAATCTCCATACCCAGGATAATGTCACGAACTTCGCTACTGGTCAAACTCTGCACGTTGACGTTGTTCTTCTTGCCATAATCGTTCAAGATCAGATCACGCAATTGCACTTCAACCTTGATCCAGTCCTCATCAGACAGGGATGGCCAGATGTGGTGTTCTTGAGTGATAACGGTCTTATCGGGCCGAAGAATGATCTTGGCCTTGTCGATGTTGACGTGCAGAGCTCGAAGAATGAGAATGAGTCGAGAAAATGCAGTGTACGGGGAGATAGACTTGAGCCACTCATCATACAAGTTGAACAGTACCATCTGAGGCTCGGTCGCACGGAGAATCATATCAGCCAGTTTCTCGACCTTCATGGCAGCCTGGAAGGGCAGCTGGAGCTCAGATGCACGAATGGAGATGTTGGGGAAATCGAGCAAGTGGACCTCGAGAGGGTCAAGAAGACCCTTACGGGTGACAATGAGCTGCTTCGGTTGCTCTTCCACGGGGAGAGACCGAATGAGAGCTGCAACTTCTTCGGCTGTCTTCCACTTGGCCAACTGACCCAGACGCTTTTGGCCTGCCCAGACACTGGTGTGGATGATCTTCAGGAACAATTGTCCAGTCCGAGGGTTGAAGATAAAGATTGCACCGTTGATGGGCTTTGTGGTCAAGTTACCCTCAAAGGTCTTGTGGATGGTGACGCGGTAGACGTTAGTGTCATCGATAAAGAGCTGAATCTGCGGGCTGAAGAGTTCAGAGTAGTTCTGAGAATTGAGGAACTCCTGGCTACTCTCCGATGCATACAACTGGAGACCCTTGCGTATACGCTCACGCAGGACATACAAAGCTGGGTTAGCTTTCATGATTTTAGCCATGGCCTGTTGAACCAGAGTCTTGAGGCCTGGGAAGTATTGTCCATAAGCCGAGAAGAGGTTGTATGCAAGATCAACGCCAATCATCAACCCAGTGGCAGAAGGATAGATACTCATGCTGTCCGTGGTATAGTCGAGGTACTTAGCACGAACGTACCGCTCAATGTCGTGAGAATCGTAGTCACCGTATCTGAGCTGCACATCGATCCAGAACTTGTTTGTGGTGGTCGGCTCGTAGACGTCCTTAGTATCGAACACAAGTGAAGGTCGGGTGACATTCCATTTGTTCGTTGCGAAGAGCAGGATATCTGCACAAGAGCTGTTCATCTTGTAAGATTTACGTGGGTGAATAGTCTCCTTTTGAACAGCCTCGATGCCAAGCTGCTCCAGTTCCTGATCTAGAACTTGACACAAATCCATAACCACCGATTCGTGAATCTTCTGCCACAGATGGGCACGGAATATCTGAATCAACGAAATCTTCAGGGTGGGAATCTTTCCGTGCAAGAAGATACCAGTCAGATCAAGCTGCACCTGGAAACCAACGTAGACGTTGGCGCGGTTGATGGTCGGCGACCACCAGAGAGTGAATCGACGGTTAGGAATCTGGTTCAGACCGGACCGCTGAGCGTTGGTGAGCTTCTTGAACTTCATACTTTCTTCGAATCCACTGTTGTGCAGGACAAGGTAGTCATGGCGCAGGTAAAGTTGATCTTTGTCGACTCGGAAACCAGCCCACTCGGTCTTCTCAGGTTCGAGGCTAATGTGCTCGATCTTGAAACTGTGCATCTGAGGAGCTGAACGTTCAACGCCCTTCTCAACCCCAGATGTGAAGGCGCTATGCAGGCCTCTTTCCTCGGTAGAAAGGGCAGCAAACTCGGCAGCAGTCATCTCAACCGTTTGCCTTTCCACGTTTTGGGGACCACCGGAGGCCCCCTCGTCTCTATAGAGCACCAGGATATGATTCGGTGTCACCACAAGATCTTCTTTCTCACCGCCGATCTTGATGCGGTACAGGCGGTCCATGCCATTCACTATGTTGAATGCACGGCGAGGCTCTCCGTCAGGACCCAGAAGTTGGTCACCTTCGCGCACGTCCTCGACATTGATCTCGGTCCCATCGTATCGCAACAGACGGGTTCCCTTGGCGAGACACGCCTTTTCCCAGAACAGACCTTCCCAGGATGGGAAAGCTGTGGCCTTGAACAAGGTGTGCTCGAGGATTGTTTCAACACCACCCAAGGCTTGGATAACATCAGTGCGGTAGGCATTAAGGTTCCAGAGTTTACCGTCGTGTCGCTGGCTAGTCCACCAGAACGGATTGCTCTTCATCAGCTGGTATTGCTTGAACTCAGCGCGGAGTCGGAAGCCCTTGTCGAAGCTGAGGGTGCTTCGGTCCTTCTGGAAGAGCGTGTTGATACGGGGAAGACCACGATCCCAGCTATCCTCTAGATCCTCCAAAGTTAGGCGGCGGTTTTGCTGCTGGGCCTCCATACGCTTCTGCGAGTATTCCATCCAAACACGCTGAGAGTCAATGAACTCGGCTTCCCAGGGAATAATGTATCGGAAGATATTTGGAATCAAGGTTTCCTCGTCATGAGACATACCCGCTCGGAAGTGGGTGATACCAGTGTCGGTCTGCTTGGACCAGCGCTTATCACTGGTGGGGATGAGGATGTGAGATCCTGAAATCATACCAAGACCTCCAAGCTCCTTGGGGGTGTAGAAGACCGCGGGAGGGAAACGAGAAGGCATCTTAGAGTTAAGACCAATTTTGACACGAGTCTGGATCTTCGTTTCACACTTCACGATGGTATCGAGAAGGTTGACAGTCGACACTGCAGCCTCGCGATAGTAAGTGAAAAGAGCAATTAGAGCAGTGTTCCACTTGTTAGCAATCTTGGTGAATGTGGTCGAACCAGAGGACATAAGGATTTGTCGGATACGGTTGTTGAATTTTTGGACATCCTCTTCGGTGACTTGGAGGAAGGCATGTGCAGTACGTTCCTTAGTGGAGTTATCAACTAGAGACCAGACACTGTCTTTGACCGAGAACTCCTCGTTCATATTCCGCATCTTGGGGAGAATCCGGACTTCGAATCCATTCATCGAGAATAGCAAGTTGGGATTGTCCTTACTGTACACGCTGGCGAATGTATCATCCCAGTCAATGGTGGTCATGGACCTTGGGAGGCGGTTCTTCATGTCCCAGAAAACAGCACGACCAAGGTTGACATCGTGACGCATCAGGCGCATACGACAATCACGAGGCCAGCACTTCTTATTCTTGTACCCAATGACGTTCTCAAAGTTAGGATCAGGATTCTCGGTCAAGAACCGCTGAATTAGGTCACGGGAATCGTCGGCCTGGAATCGGAAGAAGACCCAAATCTTGTCAACGTAACGGGTGTATAGACGAATGGGGTGCCTTGTCTCAGTGGCACGATCCCTGAATTGCAAGAAATCGTTGGGGCTCCCGGGAGGGCCGGCCATTTCACTGGCTCTCTGCAAACCAAGGAGCAACAAATCGATCATCAACCCGTAGTACTGGAACACGAAGCCCGAGAATTGAAGACCGCGAATCAGTCCATAGCTGTTGGTGTGGTTCATGTCCTTGTAGCTGAGCTGTACATTGTTCTTCGCCGTGATGTAGTCAGCCAGGTTGTGGTCCATGATCAAACGGAGCAGCCGGTTCAGGAGAGTGAGGTCAATCTTTTCATAGACCTTGGACAGCTCAGTTTCAATCATCACGTTCGTCTCACCCTCCGCGGTCTCCCAGACATTGGACAGGTTGTTGATGCCCTGTGTCCACTTGTAAGTGAGTAGAGGAGGAACCTCAGAGTCGGAAGGCTTGATCCAAGCGGGGAAGAGATGGCGCTGCTCCGCTTGGTACCAAAGGTACTGGTCCAAATAAGCGTCGGTAATCTTTTCGATGGGCTCGATATCGTAAACAGGATTGATGTTGTTGTAGTTATCGTTCATGTCAATCTTGACCTCCTTAAACGCTCTCTGTGTCAGAAGGAATCGCTTGATTCTCGCCAAGGTTGTGCCAGGGGAATCGTAGGCCTGTTCAATAAGAGCCAGTTCCTCTCGCTGGGTTTGGTTCAGTCTACCCTTCACAGAGTATGACTCGCGCAGCCGCTCGAGTGCAAGGATCAGAATCTTGGTGTCGTGCTTGTAGGAAACACTGGGGAAGGGGATTGGAGAGAACTTGCGAGACTCCAACCAGTGAACCATGGTGGTGTAAATTGCAACACCCTCTTCAGAGGAAACGTAAGGACCGTCCTTCATATAGTTGTGCTGACGCTCTTGCTCGGACTTGAGCCAAAGACGTGTGAGTCGACCGAGGTTCTTCTTTGCGACAGTCTTGTCAACTGTGGCACCACGGCGAATTCTCTCTCGGTTGTAATGAGCGACAGAGATCCACCAGTCGGCCTTGCTTTTAACGTAACGAAGAATGATGTTCTCAATCGGGGCGGGCAGGCCGGGGACCTTCCATGGAATGTTACTCTTCCAACATCTCCAGGCTTCTGATAGATGCTGCAAAACCACGTTGACCTTGTTTTGTTTAATACCCTCGGGCATCATATCCATAAGATCGGCCATGACCGAGGCACGCAGCTCGAGATCGAAATGAGATTCCACACGCTGCTTGGTGACTGTTTTGGCAACACCCTTGCTATGACGACCCTCGAACTGACGAGAAAGCAGGTTTCCAAGCCAGCGCTCAAGCAGGGGAATGATACCACGCATGAAGAAAAGCCAAACTCGCCAAGCGGGTGCCCAGAATCCACATCCAGGGCCCTTACCAACGGGGCCAGAGTTGAATCGGTAATAAATCAAATGCTTTAGATCCTTGCATGAACGGATCTGGTGCATAAGCTTATACTTGTACCGATACATACCGGTAAGCTGGCCCACGTGGTTGAAGGCATAAAGAATACCATCTGCGAGTTGGAAGGCATCAATGTTACCCAGACGGTATTGGACTTGGGCATCGACGATGAGCTTAGTCAACCGGAGAATTTCACGCATCAAGTGGAAAGCATTTCCAAAGCGAGACTTCTTACGCTCCTTGGTGGTCAATGTCTTGACAGGCTTCAAGTTAAAGTTATAATCAAGATGGAGATAAGTCAAATTCTTGCGGTGAATCAGCAGGTTCAGCATGTTGAAACCCTGGCGACAAACTTGCAAACCTGCCTCAACCCAGTCGATCGTTGTTTGCTGGAAGAACTTGGTCGTTTTGAGAGTCTTCATGAGATTCTGCTTGCTCTGGGCCTTAGGTGTACCCTTGTGCAATTCGTTGAGAACGTAGGTCTTGAGCATCTTCTGGTATGAGACTCGGACTTTGACAGGCTGACCCTGTGGGCAGTGCTCCAAGTACCATTGCTTAACCAACGGCACATCTTGCGCACGAACCATCTTGCCGGATCGTTTATCGAATGGGTGAGGGGCCCACCACAGGGCGATGGCGGACGCGGTGTCGGATGTGTAAAGTTCTTCGTCGTCAAAGAAGGGCTGGACCTCACCCGGAAGCTCAAATTCGTCGTCTTCATTATTTCCAGGTCCGAAGATTTCGTCTTCGTGGCTGACGGTGATATTTTTAGGCGCAACGGAGCGGGAAGAGATCGGGTTGATGACGGGATCGAAGTAGAAAGCCGGCAGATTGGGATCCTCGGTGCGAACGTAGACTACCTGGGGATGGGAGTACCAAGCAACCTTGACGCTTCGAGGCAGGGTATTGTAGAGGAAAGGGAAGGTGACCCGGTACTCAGTTCGAATCGGGGCACGGAAAATGATGCGGTCAATGGCGTTGAACTCGCTGAAATCTTCGTCATTAGGGTCGATGTCTTTGTACAAAGGCTCGAAACGGGGTCCACCAGGAATGGCGACGTTAAGGGCCTTGGCTGTGAAGAAGCTGTTCAAGTCGAACATGTGGTAGTAATTTTGGTCAACAACATCACTCAGAATCTGGTGACTAAGTCGATGGAGAGTGGCCATCTGGGGAAGAGTCAAATTCCATTTCTTGTAGCTGGGACCATTGACATGAGGGGTATCGAGAAGAGGACGGTGGTCGTAGAACCACTCATAAACTGCGGCATCTTCATCCTCATCCAGTTCCATCTGAATGGGCTCCAACGGTTCCACATCTTCAATGTTTTCCGACCACGAAAGAGGCGGCTCTTCGTCATCGAATGGGGGAAACGCATCCGCTTGAAGTGTCTCCGGTCACTCTTCTCCCGACGCATGCACATCCACATCGTTGCCCATTGGGCGTGGAAGACAGGCTCAATGACACGAGGTGTCTCATTGACTAAAGTCAGACAGCCGTTGACGTGGTAAAGCACCTTAACTTCTCTTGCTGACTCCCAGGGCATCGGCATGTTTTCCAGCAGCTTAAGGACAGCATGAGGCATGAACTTAAGCGCACCGAGGTAGCTCCGTTTCTCGTTGGTGAATTTCTTCTGTGAAACATCGCCAATATCTCGCACAATCTTTCGTAGATGCTCTGGTGGCATATCGGCCTTTTGTGTTTCGACGAATCCTGCTTTGCGCTTCTCGCCAAACCGATTGCGTTGCGTGCGCAGCCATTCATTTTTCTTCTGCGCAAATTTCGCGACATTCGGGTCGGCCGGCGGCTGGTATCCCGGAGGCGGCGGCGCCATTGGCATAGAAGGAGGAGCTGCACCCCATCCTGGAGGAGGAGGGGGAGGAGGCAATGATGCCATGATGGTAATTGATGGATGGAACCCTCCCTCGTCGAGGTTGTGTTGGTTCCAAGTCGCGTCAAGCCAGGTTGAAGGTCATGTGTAGCAAGACCTGTAGCTAGTAAAAAAGAAATACAACTTCAAGAAAAGAGCAGGATGATGGGGAGATGGAAAATTAAGATGCAAACGCGACAAAGATAGAGATCCACGATCCCCTACGCGATGTGACTATCTCTGCTCCTGTCTCCGTTGAACTTTGAGAAGTGGCGGCTCCGACTGGCACTATTCCGCATTGGGACTAGCGCAACCTCGCCAAATCTGCGCTAGCGTCGCCTGAAGCAGAAACCCACACAAACCCATCTCGACATATTTCACTCTGCTTCACGACAACTCCGACAACTGCCGCCCTTGACCAGTTCAAGTACAGTCAAGATGACCAACAACAGACTGCAATACGTGAGTTTTATCACAAAATCCTGACCGGAAAATTATTGATCTGACTCTTCTCGATTTCCAGCGCCGCCGGAACCCGTACGTTCAAAATTCTCTCAAAGACCAATCCTTCGCACCACCATGATCTATACGATGATTCTAGTAGCGGGATGGCTATAAACTTTTCGAACGAGTTATTGACGGGTTTTCTTGCTTTCAACAGGTACAACACGCGGTCCAACAAGGTTCGCATCATCAAGACCCCCGGCGGCGAGCTCCGTTACCTTCACCTGAAGAAGAAGGGTACTGCTCCCAAGTGCGGTGACTGCGGCATCAAGCTCCCCGGTGTGAGTACTCCCCCGGCGTCCCTGATACATTTTTGAACGGTTGTGTGGGATGTGTGCGATTGTGTGTGGGCCAACCGAACGACTTGAAAAAAAAAAACTCTGCCCCGACGGATGTACAAACGAATGGCAAACCGGAACGCTACACGCTTCAATTTCCATACGACCGTATCGCCGAATTTTTAAGAGTCGGATCGACTGACAATTTTTTTTTTAAACAGATCCCTGCCCTCCGTCCCCGCGAGTACTCTCAGATCTCGCGCCCCAAGAAGAATGTCAGCCGTGCCTACGGTGGCTCTCGCTGCGCTGGTTGCGTCAAGGACCGCATTGTCCGTGCCTTCCTGATTGAGGAGCAGAAGATCGTCAAGAAGGTCCTCAAGGAGTCCCAGCAGAAGGCCGCCAAGCGCTAAGCGTGCTTTTTGTCGGTGTTGTCCTTTTACGGTGGAGCGAACGTTATGGGAAAAACGGCTGGGAATGGTTCTCTTAAAATCTAAAGATGAACAGGAACAGCTAGCATGCGAGTCCAAAAAAAAGGCTCGTGGCTAAGCAAATGAATCAATTTCATTTACCTTCATGAGAGATTCCCTGACATGTCGAATCAAGTTGTCTGAAATTATCCCCATGGTGTCTTGAATTTGCTTCCCGATGGAAGCCTCGTACATACCATGTCTTCCGGTCAGAAATCGTTCCACTCGATCTCTAGCTGTGATGAGGCATTCGGGTAAGTCTATGATGGGGGTTGGGCAATATCTTCCAAGCCAACAACATCTCTTGTTGCTCCGCACCAGGTATAAACGTCCACGCCCTCGCCCTCGGACAAAAACGTAGTCGTCGCTGTGTAGTACAACGGCATTCTCTGGGTTGGCCACCGTAGCCGAGTAATTCACTAGTTTCTAGGACTGAAGTATACCTGGGTGATTTTTCGATCTCGATTTCATATAAATGTGCTACGCTTCATTGCATGTGCATTATACGTGTGATTAGGACCCCACTTGGTCTGGTCAATTGATCTAGGCCTTGAATTTTGCGGGTGTGAATAAATCATGTGGCCAAGTCAAGTCAACTTGACATTTTCCCGCAAAAACTAGACATGTAGCTGCGGGGCTCATCCTTTTCTGAAATACTTTCCTGGTTAAACATTGCAAACTCTGTGTGGAGCCTGATAGCACAGGCTTCCTTCCAGCCTTTGGTGCAGGAATTTATGTATTGTGGTTATATAGAATGGCTTCCGGCTGTCTTTGTTCACAATCAATGAATGTTATAGAAAACCTAAGGCTCGATACAGACCGTCTTTTGTCAGGACTAAAAAAAATAATATGTAAATATGTAAATATGTAAATATGTATTTATGTATTTATATCTCAACACTTTCTGCAGCAAGAGAGGAGCGTGCAACATTCTCGCTGTCTATCTTGACTCTGCGTTTTGAAACTCACATTGGTAGCCCAAGAATCAAAGTTTCGGTACGCAGAATATGATGATTTATTTTCCGGCTGCATAACAGATTTAAATTGAATAAACCCATCTAAAGTAGGAAAGACAGAGAATCACAAAGTCCAATTATGTAGTTCGCAATAAGCACCTAGAAAGGTATTTCCGGTTCGTGCATATATCACTTCTGTTATATCGATCTTCCCATGCCAATGCCAACATAAGTAGATAGAGGACATTGTCCATGCCATGAACAACCCTATAGCGCAAGCTATAATTTTAAAGCTTTTTCTAGGTATGACTTTGCCGCGATCTAATCAGTAAAACGATGGTCTACTTCGCCAAATAGCTGCGCTTCGTGATCTTAGAAGCATAGCCGAAAGGGGTATGTCTCCTTACTGAGTATTGACTATTACTATAGATGACTACAAAATGTCTGTTGATGCTGTGAGGGGTCTATTTGCCCGCGGGGTTTAGCAGATTGAGACCCTGACCAGCCATACATTAAGTTTAGGGTTAACCGACACCTCTTGTCGGCAAGACTCCTAGGGCTTTCACTGTAGAATACCTTATCTAGTTTGAGGGTATACTTCGTAAACGTGTTGTCAGTGAAAAAAGTACACTAATTCACATGTAATATGTCAGCTGGATCTAGATATATCTATTGGATGCGGTAATTGCAATCGAAAGAATTATTCTTGCGCTTTGCCGGAAATATATTATGGAAAGAAAAATTATAATATAATGGCATGAGTTATCTTGATCGCTGATATCTTGAACTGCTGTTTCAGACAGGAGCTCCTGCAGGTCCTTGGTGCGTTGACATGCTCGAGGCTGTAGATGAGATTGGTTGAAGATACACTGAATTTATGAACTTACGGTCACGCCCATTATTCAAAGTACAACTAAAAGTGAAATATAGCATGCTCGGACGTTCTTATAATTGCTATCAGTCAACATCCAAGGTGAGCTAGCGTATGACAAAACAATAGAGCTCCTCCCTAAATGAGACTAAATGAGATCTAGTATCTCATTACCACCCAGTCTGCATTAGCTCAATATATAGTGGAAGAAGGGTCAAAGTGCCACTGAAAATGCACCAATCAAGATCGATCCCTCTACTTCCATGCATTCCAGGGTTGTTTTACTAAGTACGTACCGCATATGTAAAGTAAAGTACGTGGCCGTTGCAACTCGTTCAATCCCCGGTACTTCGAAACAGCCAATAAAATACGTTGCTGGCCCCGTTCCGAATGTCTTTTTTTTTTCTCTTTTACTGTGAAAAAGCAAAGAATTTTCGCCTCCATGATCGCACCCGGGAATACGGGTGACAACAGACAATGGGATCGGTCCCGGGGCTCAAGAAGCGGTCAGGCGATTGTTCAGTGTCGCATCACTCCCCAAAACCACTCATTCCGAGGGCGCTTGTCAAAGAGAGCTCGAGCGTATGCATAATTGACAACTGTCGAACCGGGCCGTTCCATCCCACAAACGCCCAACGGGAGGAGGTTCGTGCGGTTTCTATGAGAGCAACAGAAAGCCAGAATACATAGCGAAAGGGCCACTAATACTATGCTGTATATCAAATGCTACATCTCTCTCAAAGGGGGTTAACATAATCTACATTGTGAAGAGAAAATTCGTGAGGCTTACCGGGATACGTCTGCAAATCCCGGATTCCAGCAGGCTGGGCAACCGATCGGCTACTGTATACATATCAAGTGACACTTCCGTACCCGCGTCGATTGATGTCATGCAGATAAAAATTTTTTTTGAAGAGATCTACAGAATACCCCTTTCTCCTGTTCCTAAATTGCCCTTCTGAGATAATCGATATATCGAAATTGATCTAGGATGACCCCGGGTTGGGCTCAAATTGATACCTACAACGTGAGCTTTTCGGGTTGAACAGTGGGGCTGTGCCTGACAGTGTTTGTACTTGCGATTGAGACTATTGAGACTGGCTGCCTTTACCCTGCATGGAAGGCCCCAAATCTCTCTACAAAGATTAGTACGAAGATCTTTTTTGACGATGTGCATTACATACACGCACGTGACATATAGGCATGTACATCAAAAAGAAAAGCAAAGTAAAGCAAGCAAAGCAAGGAAAGAGAAAAAGGACTAAATTACGGAGTATATTGTGTAGTGGGATGGAGATACAGCTTCTGAGGGACATTGGCACCATCACAGCGGGAGCGCCTCCTCTCACTGGCTGATTAGGTTCATCATAGCCTAGTAAGATTCACCATATTCGACAAATGAAGCTAGCGATGCCCCTGTATGATTGGCAATAGTGCGCGGGCGCACATCCGTTAGTTAGACGGCCTACTCCACTCACTCTCAATATGTTTAACAGCGAACACCCACTCAACGCTGGGTCACTAATTGAGCTGCAGACTATCACGAGAGGATCTCATACCTTATTTGGCTTAGGAAACGGTCCAAGCGGACGTTAGAAAATAGGTCTGTATACATAAGTACATGGAGGTAGCTGTAACGTACTTGGTATAATAGCCCTAGGCAGTTAGGGTCATATTAATAATAAGATTGAAATCCCTTCTAATCTCTCATCTGAGAGAAATGTGAACATCTTATCTAATGTATAATAATATAGATAAATGACTATCGGCACGGTCCGGAGGGGACTTGGAAACTCAACTTCAGATACTAGTATATTCAGCCGCTTTGTGAACGGCATTGCAGCTGCCACATGTATGACGGTGCACAGGTACATAATGTCTGATATTAGTGGCTCCTTACTTACAGCACAAAATCTACTGCGCTGCACGCTCCGCGGATGTAAGCTGCTTATACCCTAGTGGTAATTTTATAAGTACGTATGTACCTATATACTCCGTAGCTGGGGAACGATATGCCACTTGTAAGTCGGGTATCAATCGTTGTAATGATGAGAGCACTATTTTCTCAATTTGTTCTCTCTGCCTCGTGATGTTACAGGAGACATAGTAGGCGACGTTACTAGTATCGCTCTTTTCGCTGTCGTCATTTCCGATCTCCCTATCACACGACCTATAGGCATGGCACTGCAATATGAAACCTTTGTGAATAAGTTTCCTCTGCGGGCCATTGCGTAACTTGGGTAAGGAAATCAATAATACAAGGGCTGTAGTATGTTGTTATGCCCTAAATATCGAATACCTACAATTAAGCTCCTCTACCTTATTTGTATAGAGTAATCTCAACAGCGTTGATTTACTTGAGAATACTCTATGATAAAAAAAAAAAATAAGATCTACGTGGCCCCCATGATCTGTTATCTCAAAACGAGGGTATCAGATCCCCTTTTTCTTGGGACACCGATAAAAGGGGAAGTGGGGAATGACAGGGAGGAAGCATGATCATGGCAAAGACAACACGCAACTGCCGATGCAGCCGACGCAGCCAAGGATTTTCGCGTCATCCCAGCACCCTGAATTACTGAATCAGTGGATAGACTGGTATAGCGGAGTGTTAGTGGGGTTGCTCGTGGCTAATCATGGACAAAACTCGGGTGTCAAGAGAGACTAGAGAAGACTCGCAAGGAAGGGCGGCAAATGCACTCAATTGTACTCCGTGAGAAGTTAAGTCCCTTGTAATGTTCCCAGGTCCAATAGAGCTATGCAGGTGGTTGCTCAACAAGATTTCCTTTTACTATGGTTGGAGGCTATTCCTGTCACTTGAGACACAGCTGTGCAAGCACATGAAGCATTGTCAGCAGCACGGCATGCGGTCCATGCTACCGATAAGAACAATGCCCATACATCGACACGGAGCAGTCACTGTTTATCCAATACAAAAATCCGGGGACCAAGTAGTAGAGGCGTGAATATTTTTCACTTCTTGGCATTGTTCATGCCCAACATTATATAAACGATGCGCATCCGGGACTGGAGACATGTGGGACTCAAAAGAAGCGAGATCACACGAGATACATGCCTAACATCAAGCGCGCCATTGAAGATCCATTGACAAACATGATAGAGAACCATGATTGACACCATCGCCTTTGTGATAGATCTTGGTTAGAAGCGCGCAGATTCAAAGGTCACTATCAACTTATGGTACACTTGAAAAGAAACTATGCGTTGCTCATGCCAGAATGACTGAAAAAGAGAGAAAAACTAGTGCAAAAAGCAAAGTAGATACTAAGAAGGGGGAAAAAAGCAGACAGATCTTCGCCATGAGGCTCATTCTGTGGAACGCCCGCCAAATACATTCTGAATTCAAATACATAGCAAATAAATTGGCACTTCAAATGACGCCATGCCTCTAGTGTGCTCAATGGTCAACATGGTCTTGACCAATGGCCTGAAAATTAGCAAGAAAAAAAAGTCGTGAAAATTAAGAACCCTGAAAAAGAAAAGAGCATGCACGCCAGCTTCTCCGCGCTTTTTCATCGCTAAATCTTTCTCCACCACACCTTCCCTCGCCCCCCCATTTTTGTTTTGCTTAAATTTCTTTTTTCAAATCCCATGAGGATCGACCGGGACCTTCGAGTGGGTCATGGGACCCTGGAGCCCGACTCCGGAGCATACCAATCATGGCTTTGGCCCACGTCAAATGATGACCCTGGTTCCGCGGTATCGATGAAGACCGTATTGTTGCCTGGCATCACGGGGGTGCATCCGATAACAGGGCCCATGGGGTGCTGCATGTATCTTTGCATGGCTGAAAGACTCGTAGGACCGTATTCATGCCCCAGACTGTTTGGAATCTGCTGATATGCCTCGGTGCGCTCGCTATGGGGGCTGTTTGTGTTGCGTGATTTGACAACTTTCGTAGCGTGGATCCCCTTGATCTCTGAGGGCTGACGTGTGGGCCCACGGTGCCCTGAGCCCATTGCTTTCTTTTGGTGTTGAAGCTTGCGATAACGGGTAGTTGATTGGATGCCACCGCTGTGGATAGCTTCCGGCGTCAACCTCCAGAAGTTCACTGCCTTTTTGCCTGGTCCAACTTCTTCCTTCACTGCTTCGAAGCCCTAGATTTTGAATTAGTATTGGTACCACATATAGCAGACATCGAATCAAACTCATTGGAGCAAAGAACTAAGGGAACGAGAGTTAAGAAAAGTGAGTGTTACCGCGTTCATCGAGAGATTATGGCGAATACTGTTCTGCCACCCCTTCGCGTTTGGATCCACCCCCTTGTCTGTATTTGCTTCAAACCAGGAGTAAATGCTTTGGAGTTGAAGCTTGTTTCCCGGTGCATCCTTCAAAGCTTGATAGATAAGAACAGAATAGGGAGGGTGTCCAGGACGTTCCTCTCTATTGTCACCAGTGCTTGAACGTGGTGAAAGACGGTCTGTGGTTTGGGTAGTCATTGCCGGGCTCAAAGCAGCGAGGGACTGCGGAGAGTGATAGGAGGAGACTTCAGAAAATGGCGATGGCGGGGAGTCTGGAGGTGGCTGAAGAGGTTCCAACTGAGGATAACTGTATGGCTGGTCTTTGAAAGCATGGGAGGGTTGCAAAAGTGGCCAATCTAAGTGACCATCTGCAGGCTGAGGGGCCAAGGCCTCCAAGGTTGTGCCAGCTATGGCGGGGGTGACATGCGTGCTGTAATCAAGATGTCCATTTGGATCCCCGATGAGTTCCTGAGAAAACGGACCCAAGCCGTAAGTCTCGACATCAGCAACACGAGGAAAACTGTAATCTTCATACTGGCGAGGAGGCATAGAAGCTTGCTGAGATTTCCATCTCACCCAGTCATGTATACTGAATTGGTTGAACGCTGGGGCATTCATCGTGAAATTACCAGTGCCCTGAGATGACGCTTCTGGTGATAGGATATCAGGCTTGGAATCTTGGCTTGAAATCTGCATTCTGTTGTAATGGTGCGAGTGGAATGAGAAATCCATGTTTAGGCAAGGCGACTTCCTGCGAGAGTGACTTGATGAGGATGATAGAGTAGAAAAGTAAAGCGAAAGTGAAGCATGAAAGTGCAGGGAAAGGAGATGAGAAGGTAAATGTAAACTTCGGAAGAGGAAGGAATAAGAATAAGGAGGGGGAAAAGAACATACAAGAGTTGTCAAAGGACGTGTGTTCATGGAAGATGAGCTGTATAATTCAATCCGCCAACACATCATATTCTTTCTGCAAATAACCTCATAAATGCATTTTTCTAAAAGACGGTCTGGACCTAGGGGAATTTGTATTAAAGATCTGTATTTCAAAAAAAAAAAAAAAACGCCCTTAGATGCCCAAGTCGTGCAACGGAGCATACAATGGCCGGGAAGCCAAAGTGGCTGGATCTGGTACTACATACTACATACCACTAGAACGAATAGGACCAGTCTCCTAGAACGGGGGTCAAATGGTCAACTTGGTCAAATGGGAACCTGCAGGAAGTCGCCCATCTCTACACCGGCTTCATTCCGGGCCTTCTGGAAGTTAACTATAAGCTGGTGTCTAGTTTCTCTCATAGTCCAATTGTTTCTTTTTCTCATGGCCTGCATCTAACCAGCCGGAAGCCAGGAATCCATCCTACTCCTGCAAGCCGGGATAGTGTCACCCAAAAGGACACCCAACGTCCACCGTGTTGCGAGTATCCCCCGGTAATAGAATAAAAAGAAGAAAAAAAGACATATAGTGGCGATACGCTAGTCATGGCCAAGAGGTTTAGCTTCCCCCTAAAAGATTACCATAGTGATAGACAAAAGAAAAGGTGATAGGGCCGTCAGGTTTAGGAAGTAGTTGGATCAAGCATCTGATATCTCTAGATACCAAGTCCGGCTTATTCTGTCAAAACCTTGGGGGAAATATTTTCAGTCCAATAAATCCAAGGTTGGTCTGATTCACTGGGTATCAAGTCATTGGAAAATACACCCCCGATCATCTCCCTGCATACAGTATAGTAACCCGCTCTATCCCCATCCCGATATGATGTCCATGTGGATTGGTTGCGCATGTATTACTTCCGATAATAGATCTGAGACAATTTGTTAGTATCATCGGGTAACCAAAAAAAGAAAAGAAAAAAAAACCGACTTACCCTTTTGAATTGGAAATGAAGTTGAAGAATTCCCTAAGAAAGAATAACGTCAGTTGAGAAACAGAGGGTGGTTGGTCAGTAGCACAGCATACCTTGTCAAATGTACTCTTGAAACCCCTCTCTCGTTTGGCACTATAATCCCATTCTTTGTCGACAATTCGAAAGGCAAGGTCTTCGTACGGAGGTCCAGCCATGAACCGAATGAGACAGGTGTCTTCCTCGCCTGCTTCGGCCGATGACTCGCCACGCTTACGACCGTTCTCACGCTCAATCCGGTAAGTCGGGGCTTTAGTCTTATCGATCAAGTCGGGGTAGAAGATGTTGAATTTGTAACCTTGTACAACCTTGGGTGGCGGGTTGTCATGGTCATAATGGGTCTGGTTGTATTTGTTCCATTCGTAACCCATTTGAACTCGGTTGAAGTACCGCGGCTTTCGAGGCCGATGTTTACCGGCCCATTGAGGCTGCGAGCTCGTGCTCACGGCCTCTTCGCCTGTAAATATTTCCTCATTCTCGCTGACACCCTTGGCGAGCTCCCTTTCATATAACGCTTTCGTCGCTTGCGAGAAGTCCTCGTTGGGGATGGACGAGAACCGCGTGGATACAGAGGCTGCGGGGGCGTTGGTAGATGTCGGATTCGACACTACTGCGGAGGACTTCTCTGCTGCTCGGTGCCGTAGTGGGACAAAACCCATACGGATAATTTTCTGGCGTTCGCGGGCCTGTGCGGCTGATTAGCATGTGGAGTGGGATAAATAAGGGAGCCTAAAACCTACCACTTGGTTAAGGAATGCAGATTCGTCCATGATTTCCAAGCCTTTGTCCTCCGAACGGACCTGAAGCATTGGGTCTGGATCCAAGCCTTCAAACTCAGCATGATTTGCTGTATCACCCGCACTGACAACGGGGGCAAGAGGCGCAAGTTTTTCTCGAATTGATTCGGCTTCCTGTCTTTGCTGTCTCCTCAGGTCACGAACACGCTCATCAATAATGGCTTGGTAAACATTTTTCAGACTCGCTCTGGCCTTCCACACAGTCAGACTGCGCAGCAGCTCTTCCCAGTAATCTGTATCGATCGGCTCGTTCGAGTTCAACTTTCGTTTCACTTGTACTTCGAGATTTTGGAGCTGCTCGTAGGACTTTGGGCTTAGTAGTTTGTTGATATCGGCAGCCACAGAATTCAGTGCGCGACCCTCGGGTGTAATGGTCTTTTGACGATCTCGACAGATCACTTTCATAGTCTGTAGGGTAAACGGTGGTCAACAGGGGTGTCCAGTGGATAGCAAGGAGGGGAAAAAATTACCTGCCAGAATTCACGGTTTTTGGCATTTGTCTCAAGGTTCACAAATGTATCAATGTCCTTCTCCAAGTCCTGCAGCTGAGTCTGCGATAGTCCCTCGAACACACCGTCCGGGTCCACGACATCCAGATCGGAGTCTGCTATTTCATCATCCAAGGGATCACGCGTAGGGTCGATGATGCGGAGAGTGACCGTTAGCCAGTCGATAGGCTTTGCGCGTCCTTCCTTGACTCGAATCTCTGCCTTCTTTTTGGCTTGCTTCAACACGAACAGATCCTCTTGCGCGACCCACTCGCGCTCTTGCTGGTCTTCCTGGATCAAGTTGAGTCGGACTTGATCGCGCATATTGCGAGGTTGCTGCGAAGGGCCCGATCTATCATTGTTCCATCTGCGATCCGAGTCTTGTCGATCGCGCCATTCTCCATCGTCCCGACGGGGATGTTTCTGAGCCTGACGCCACGAGGATGGCGATCGCGACCGGCTGCGCTTTTGGTCGGATCGGTCTGGGAATCGCGCAGACATGGCAAAAATCGTAAAAGTATAACGAGGAGTAAGGATCAGAGCGAATAAGCTAGACCCGAACGTATGTAGTTTAGATGTTGAAACGCGAAGTCAGAAGTTCGGGAGATCAGCAGGAAAGTCGAGCGGGCGGCAAACCTTCCCTTTACGGCCCCAGGCAGCTATATGAGACAACCTTGGAACTTCATCACTTCACAACTCCGCATTGTAAATCAACAAGTCGCTCAAGTCATGCCTCCAAGATGGCAGCGCCTTCAATTATCTCAGCAGCGATTGCCTCCTTTGCTCTTCCAGTATACCTGGACCCGGCAAGGCTATGAGATCCACATAACAGACCTCACCTATATCTGGTCAGAGCGGCTGCCCCATAAAGCCATCGCTAAGAGAGCAGAGGATGAGGCAACAACGATCGATCCTGGAGAGGACCCAGAACAGCTCAATGTGCTCCTGGAGAAAATTGGGGAAGCTTTACAAAAAGGAAATGAAAGCGTAATCCTAAGCAGTGGAACGCAACCCGACTCCCTTGAAATCATAATAACAACCAAGCTGCCCGCCCCGTTGAAGCCTCTTAAATGGCCCTTGAGGCTATCTAAAGAGCCTATGTCGTCCTTGACCATTAATCTATTACTTCCGCTGCTGGGAGAGGAAGCGGAGTGGGAGTCCCGCCAACGTGTGCTCTTGAACCAAATCAAACAGAAAGACTACGTACTTGGCAAGTTGTTCGACAAAATGGAAACTCTTGGCGTTGACCTAGGGTCTGTGTTTCCTAGCGCTGCAGGATCGCGCATGTCCCGCAAGGTTATTACGCGGTCTGATGCTGCTAAGTTTGTCAAGGGCATTGCACCTTTCGAGGAACAGGCCTGGCTTGCTGAGACAGGAGTATCAGAGGGGGCAGGGTTAGCCACCAACTTACTCCAGGAAATCTCGCAATCCGATGATTCTTATGATTTAGATACATTCACACAGTCACGAGGTGAATGGTGGCGTCAACTTGCCAAGCGCTCTGGAACTAGCGCCAGAGAACCCTCTATCAAAGATGAAGTTCCCAACGAGGAAGATAGAGAAAAGCCGCTTGGAACTAAGCATATCGATGCTGGAGGGGCCTCAACAGCAAGCAGCGATGTCGATGAGTTTCAGGTATGCTACGACTTATTCCTAATCACAAATAACCAGTATAGTTTAACCTTGTTCATCTAGCGACAAGAAACTCCTCCCAGACTAAAATCCCAACATGGCAAAGGCAAAGCGTCACCAACCAAGCAAACACCCAGAAAGAAAAGTCCTCCGCCACCGGTATTGCCTTCAGAGGAAGACGAAGCCACAGCATCAGACTCCGAATCCGAGCCTGAACCAGCACCGCGTCAAAGACGCATTCCCAGGGTTTCAAAGTCGCCAGAGCCTGCTGCACCGCAGCCAAAAGCCCGAGAGCCGCCGAAATTATCAAAGGGTAGATTGGGTAAAATTGGCGGCAAGGGCAAGAAAGAAACACATCGCCGATCCTCACCATCTCCCTCTCCACCCCCTTCTCCTCCAACACAAGTTCGAGAGGCACCGAAAAGGCCAAAGGGCGGATTGGGCATGATAGGCGGCAAGAAAAAGCAGGCAAAAGAGCCCTCGCCTCCCCCAGCGCCTTCCCCTCCAGCACAAGCCCGCGAGTCTCCAAAACCCCAAGAACCCTCAGAGTCGCCAGAAGAGGAACAAAGGATTAACAAAGATCCTCTGCCCATCTCGGTGACACCGGCACCAGCAACAGCCAAAGCCAAACGTTCCGGAAAACTTGGCATGATAGGCGGCAAAGCCAAAGCCAAAGCCTCCGAACCAGCTCAAGATAGATCTCCCCCACCTACACCTGACAAGGTCATGTCACCCGAGAAAGCCGCGCCTGCTAGACCGAAGGCTGACCGACAAGCTCCTAAAAAAGAGGAGTCTCCATTGCCCACACCGGCGGTGGAGAAGCTCCCTTCCGCTCCACCTGCAGAGCCGGAGACCGAAGACCAGCGGGCTGACCGGAAGCGCGAGGAACTGAAGAGGTCCCTCGAGGCCAAGGGCAAAGCTCCTGTAAAGAAGAAGCGGAGGTTCTAGACGAAGGGATGCGGAGATTTAAACGTTTTGAGAAATTCCAAGTCCTTTTCCAAGCGATTCAGCTGGAATGGCTGTGTGCGTGCATACGATACATATTTCTAGTACGTGACTATAGATAAATTCACTTCAGGGCTGTGCATTAACGCAAGTGCTTAAGTCTGTGGATTGATTCATTGAAAAGATCGCGATTGGGGAATCAAATAAAAGGAGAAGGCAAGAAAATGAAGTGAAGACGTAAAAGTAAAAACACGCGCTAATAATAGTACACATTGAACGTTACCCAAGTCTCAAGCTCAGTCCCTCGAAGGAGGGCCCGTGCGAGCCGAGGCAACACTTTCCTTCTCTTGCTCATTCGGAGTAACAAGTCGCACCCTTTTAGGCGACATAGCGCCGGGCGAAACCGGCGCTGGAGAGGAATTATTGTTTGTCAAAGTGATCGGGCCAGCACCGCTGCCACCGGTGGCAGCGGCAACACCAGCAACACCCAGCATGCCGCGTACTTTTTCGACAGCCTTACTTTCACCCTTAGTCCAGGGATCACGCTTGACGAGTCCGACACCGGCGGAGCGACTAGCAGAGTCGCGACGCTTGGATTCCGCCTGCAGGGCTTGGCGGTTTAGTTCGCGACGTGGACCAGGCCCGCAGTCATGCGAGCAGCCGGCTGTGGCACAGCCGCCTTCGCTGGTTGAGATGTCGCCGAGCCAGGTTGTGATGCATGCTATATGGCCACCGTGGCCGCAGCCTTGGCACCAGGTCCAGAGGGCGGAGCCTTTGGGCCGAGGTACAGTGAAGGGCTCGGTAATATCGATCTCTGACGCTGGGATGGGTTCAGTGGGAACTGAGGATTGTGTCGAATGGGTCGAAGTGCTTTCGGAGTCTGGGTCAGTACTCGTGAGGGATGAAGTGATTGGTGGAGTTTGCTGCTCTGAAACCCATTCTGGGGGTGGATCAAGGCTCATGCAAATAGAGCAAGGTGCTTGAGGTGTGCTGCAGCGATAGCAGCGGCTGTTATCTTGGGTGGAATTTTCAAAAGGTCGTTGACACGTGTAGCAATAGACGTTGATGAATGAATCTGTCTGGGCGTATTCGTAGACGGCAGGGTATGTTGATACACAAAATAGGCGGAGCTCTGCTGCCTCGAGGTCCATCGAATGCCGAATCAGGTGCTCATTGTAAGTTTTGAAGACAGTTTCACATTCTTCATATGGGAGAATTTGTTCACAATCCCGGAAAAGAACGTGCAGCTTCTGGAGAAGATGGGCCGCAGCCTGTATATCGACTAAGCTGCTGCTACTATGGTAATATCGGACTGATTCCTTCAGAATCGCTTCAATGCCCCACGGTTTCAAGTCCGTTCCGTCTGGCGTGAGTGGGATCTGGACTCGCGCGATGCCGCCTATTGTTGAATAGGGCATGGTGCCGAGGTCGAGTGTATCATCTGGTGGGAATGGTTGCTGATATCTTTCAAGGGGGGTTGATTCTGTAATCAAAGGGGGAGGGCTCGACGGGCGCTCTAGATGAAGTCGATCAGTCTCCGAGACGACCTGGTCAAAGATCTCATCCTCGGATTCCTCACGCGTAGAAGCTAGAATCGACCCTCTTCTCAGCGCTGCGGTAGACTGTCCGGCCTCCAGAGATTTAGATGCCTCGAGTTGTCCAGTAGACGAGTACGACGCGCCAATAGACTTGGAGGGGTGCGAACTGTCGGTGGATGTAGAGAACATGGGAAAGCTCTCTGAAGAATCATGCCGAGTATATCGATCGGGGCGAGGAGGCCGATTAGGTTCCATTGGCGATTCAAGAGTCAAGGGTTTCTTGGGAAATTGCTTGTAGTCACGAATTGCTGCACGTTTATCCTCCAGCTTTTGGTCATAATCATCCTCGGAATTTTCCCGAGGGAAGTCTGGATGACCACGACGACGCCAATCTGCTTTGCCGGCGATTGCCCGGGGTGCAGACCGTTGCTCTGTGTCCAAGTCTTCTTGTGTAGGGTCCCATGGATACTTCGATGGATGAGTATCATCGGTCGATGATAGCCGCCCACTCGGCAATGGTATACGGTCTGACATCCCCCAGCCATTATGATCACTCAAAACCGAGGGCGGAAGAGGGTCAAGGTCGATCGCCCCATCGCTCAACGAGGGGATTTGGGAATCAGTGCTCGACCACGAGTCTTTTGGGGAATCGGGCAATGGTCGCGCAATAGGGGTGGTCATATTGGACGAGCTCTCAGCCTCGGGGACCGCTTCCATGACCCCTTTGAACAACCGACTTTTGACCCTGTCCTGTCGACCATCATCGGGTCGTGACCTGTCTATCAAGCCTCCATCCTTGGATGACCTGTCTTTCAGGCCAACCTTCGCTGGATGATCTCTAGCTCTACGTTGGAGTTCTTGAAGAATAGCGAATTTGACAATTCTCCAAGTCTGAGCCAATTTGGCCAGGGATACCTCATCTGCACATTCAGCGTTATGGTCCAGTGACTCTGTCAAAGAGTTCAGGACATCGTTCTGCGTTCTATGTTCACTGTGCTCATCCATCAACGGTGTATAGTGGCTTGCCAAATACCGAAAGACTGCTGGGTCGTTTGTGGCGCCCGGAACGCTTGTAATGATTCCCACCTGACTAGGCATTGGGGTCGCCAGTTTGGCTAATGCTTGCTCTAGAGGGAGCACGGGTATGAAATCCACTGCTCCGGGTGGAGTACTACCCAAGGACTTGGATGGTCGAATCGCGGCCGATTTGGTATGCCGATTCCGAAGGGAAGTGGCCAAAACGGCTTCATCAAAGATGTCATCTGCAGGGCTTTGACTTAGTGATCTCTCGCCAGTGCTGTCCTCGTCTTCTTCGGGCAGTAGAAATTCAGCGGCATTGACCCCCAGAGGGCGTCGTCTGGGCCGTTGTTGACTGAACGCAACAAACTCGCCATTGGGACTCCAGGCTACGGAGCACATCGGTCGGCGATTGACCACAGTTGGCGCATACCGGAGATCGGTCTGGGTAAAAGCCCCAGCCTCGCCGACCGTCCACAAGAGATCCTTAGAGCGCCAGAGCAGATCTGATGCGGGCGAGTCGTACCGATCGAACTCGCGAAATGGAACGTGCGGGCGACGGAGATCCCAAAGGTGAACGCGTGGGTCTTCTTTGTCATAGGACGTGACAACTTGAGATGATTGCCATTCTCCCGAGGAAGGAGACTCACCAACCCAAGAAGGAGGCCTCCACCGCACATTTGTGACCGCCTGGGGTGTTCGGAATTGGAATGATGGTTTCTGCCGTCGCTCTGCAGATGAAGAAAAGTCCCAGACCTTTACCTGACGATCCGTGCCACCACTGACAATGTGCTTTCCATCTGGGTGCCAGTCGACGGCGAAGCATGGGCGATCATGAGCAGCAATTCTCATCAGTGGAGCGTTGACCTTTCGATAATCCCACATCTGGATTGCGCCGCTGTCTGAAGCAGTTGCAAATATGACTCCATCGTTGGGAGACCACCGGACGTCTCGGATGGCATCGCTGTTACCTTGATACGAATGTTTACTGCCGCACGTAGAAGTTCCACGGTTTGCAGAGGCGGATCGCAGATCCCACATCCGAATTGTGCCATCTTGACTACCAGACAGGAGCCAGGAAGGAAGATGAGGATTGAAGGCAAGCCTGTGCACCTGGCGGTTGTGGCCATGGAAACGACATAACTGGAGGCCGGGCCGCTGTAGGTCATAAACCACAATCCGACCATTCGCGACTGCAGTTGCGATTATCCGGTCATAGTTTCCATGTGACCATTTTACATCCTTCACATTCAATTGGTCCTTGTGTGGCATCGAAACGCCCACATCGTGGTGGGTAGATGCATAGCTAATGACTGCATTGCGAATATTAAATTCCTCTGACGAGCGGTCTGGCGAGACCTGGATGGTTTTAAGAATCTCCTTGCCTGCGATAACCGCATGTGTCCGCTCAGGCGAAATGTCCAAAGCCGTGATTGCGATGCCTGTCTTGTGGGTCACCGTCTGCGGTTCTCCTGGTCTTTACAGAAGCATATAATTAGAAACGGAATATTCCATTGGCTCAAATGCAATTTCTCCGATCACACTAGCTCCGATGACCAAATGGCGGGGGTGGTCACTGCATTCGTGAAAACAAAGCGGGAAAAACATGGGGAGTAAACCAGGGAAGTAGGGGTATCAGAGCGGTGTGAGAAAGCTGCAACACTTACAGTGATTTGGATCTGATCGGCCGGGGACCATCCACACGACTGCTTTGGGGACTAGGTGGTCTCGAGCCCGCGAAGAAGGGTTGGGCGAATCTAGCAAGGGCATTGGCGGCGCGGTTCGAGTACTTCTGTGGTGGAGGAGGGGGAGGAGGAGGTACCGGAGATCGCGAACCTGAGAGGTCCGACATCATTCACAGCCAGGTCTCCATTCTGGCACACCGAATTGGAGGGAGAAAGATGCGGAGAGTTGGAGATCGTCGAGATGCAAGCGGTGAGGGAAGGATCCCTGAGGCACCGACAATCCATGCCTTACTGTTATCTGACAAAATGTACATCAATTTTAACGTTGCAACGTTGTTACAACTGTGACGCCTCACATATAGGGCATCAGTCAGGTAGTTGTGCTATTTGTACTACTTCATCATAATTGATGTATTTCTTAACTCTTTTACCTCTTGAAAGCCATCGGGCCGAAACACATGTTAAGAGCGGTCTAGAAGACAACACATGAGAGAGCTCAGATTGGAATATGATCTTATGAAGTAATTTGTCCGAGGGAACATGTCCAATGACCAAGATACCTACATATGTATATACTATCTATCAAACACAAGAATGCGATTCTAATTTGTCTTACCTCAACCGGGGCTTCGGGACGGACACGAGACACATGGAGAAGATATATTCATAGATCTTCAGAGATGACATATATACTTTACAAATATACATCAAGTGGCCAATCCTTTGAACTGCGCCTCGGGGGTGCCACCGAAAGTGACTAGAAACACTAAGAAGAGGCAAATATGAGACATTCAGCTAATCACGTACATTTAACGGGAAGCCTAGACAACCAATCCAAGCTGAAGGTCACACATTCGCGGAGAAAAGGAAGAAATCTAGATTACATTGCCATAATGACTGGGCTCAGATGATCTCGTTAATAATTACTTTCATGAATTTATTTTCCTTGGCATAGTTAGTGAAGTCATATATGCGTGGATTGTTCTCGATCTAAAGATCGACGATCCTTTTCCCCCCTGGTTTGTCCTTTAGGACAATTTGAACTTCAACCATCGGGTAGGAAAGGTTCTAGATTGATTATTTTATATTATTTATATTAAGAATTCAACCATCGGAGACAAACATTCCTAAAGAGTAACTCGGAGAAGATATGTATAAAGAGACTCGGAAGCTTTAGGTGAGTTATATATCAGTGGATCCCCTTTTTTTTTAGCTGCAGCAACCTGCAATCCACACCGTCATTTAGACCTAGACATCTGATATTTATATATATATTCTTTGCCTCTTTTCTTCTTTTGTCTTTTGAAAAGTTCCACCCTTTTCCTTCTTCAAAAAATACTTAAAAGCCTTGGAAAAGGAAGAAGAAACAACAGTAGGGGGAAAACATTAAGGAAAATAAGGAAAAATAACATTATATTTCTTTTTTTTTTCTTATTTCTTTTTATGTTTGCTTCTGATACAAAATCTCCATAATATTTTACTTCATTTTTTCTAAACTTCCACGTGGAAACCTGTTGAGGTTATCTCCATCCTTGGAAGTTCCCCCATTCCACGCGTCGATCTTTCGCCATACCCGTCGTTCACACCCGTCCAGTCCTTTCCGATCCGAACCCGGCCTCCCTTTTCCTACCTTTCTTTCGAGGAGGCAATCTTGTCATGGACCTTGTTTGAAACACTCATTTCTGGGATATTTAGGCAATGGATCCCCATGCAGCCCTTGAGCTGCTGGAATACTTGCGCACCTCTTACCCAATCTTCCTTCTTATCCTCTTTGTCGTGGCCTTCGTGGCTAACACTACCATCGCTGCGAGGAAAGCCAGCAAGCATGAATCTCAATACTTTGGCCCTGGAGGGCGACCACTTCCTCAGCGAACTCGAACCGTGCCCGCCTACAAATCCCAGGAGTTCTCGCGGAACGTCAAGCGAGTTTTCAATTTGCTCTCCGTGACCGTTCTTCTGACTTTCATTTTGGATGCAACCATCTATATCGTACATGTGATGGTGGCTAGGTCAGAGAACTGGTGGCGAGGACAGTCGTTTGTGGTACGTTCTATTCGGATGGTTTGGTGTTTCTTGACAGCCGTTGACACTATCACAGATCTACGTCGTCGGTTCGTTCTTCGTCTACGCAGTGCTGCTCATGGCAATGCTAGACACATCTCCCTCGCCCACTATCGCTCAATTTGTCTGTTGGTCGGTCGCCATTCCAATCGAATTGGTTATTGTTAGCACCTCCCTCTCGATCTACACCTCGGTTCACCACGAGCCGATTGTTGGAGACCCAGAAGGGGGTCGGGTCCGCAGAAGCATTACACTCTGGGAGTCCTTGGAAGTGGGATCAAATAGTGTACGCATCCTGATTTTGTTTGCACTGGTTCTTCTCTACGCCTGTCAGTCATTCAGCATGAAGAGTCACCAGAAGGCAAGCCGACGGACGAATGGAGCCACGGAAGCCACGGGCCTTTTGGATTCCGGTGGTGCAGAAAATGGCAACGGGAATGGACATGGGAACGGAACTGCCAATGGTCACTCATATGGCTCGACGAACGGAGCCCCTCACCCCGAAACTTCCAAACCTACCGATCCATGGGTGCGTCCGACGACTATTCCTTCCACCAGCTGGTGGGAGTACCTGAGCGGGTACTCGCTATTTTTCCCATATCTATGGCCGTCCAAATCCCGCCGCCTGCAACTAGTTGTCACGTTTTGTTTTGTGCTCCTCATATGCCAGCGAGTCGTTAACGTCTTGGTACCCTATCAAATCGGAGTCATTACAGGTTCTCTTGCCAATGGTGAGGGCGAGGACTTCCAAGTGCCATGGCTTCAAATCTGCCTGTATGTGCTATACCGATGGTTGCAGGGCAGCCAGGGCTTACTTAGCTCCCTGCGCTCTAGCCTCTGGATCCCTGTGAGCCAGTATTCTTACATGGAGCTCTCCACTGCTGCGTTCGAACACGTCCATAGTCTCAGCTTAGACTTCCATCTTGGAAAAAAGACCGGCGAAGTCCTGTCCGCCTTAAGCAAAGGTAGTTCGATCAATACTTTCCTTGAGCAGGTCACCTTTCAGGTGGTGCCAATGCTTGTCGATCTTGTGATTGCGATTGTTTTCTTCATGATCGCATTCGATGTCTACTATGCTCTAGCTGTCGGGATTTCCACCTTTGGTTATCTTTATGTCACTATTCGCATGGCCCAGTGGAGAGCAGAGATCAGAAGACAGATGGTCAATGCCTCGCGACAAGAAGATGCCGTCAAGTAAGTCAGAAAAACGCCATTTATGATATAATATGTAGGACTAACTTATGCTCTTTCTAGGAATGACTCCATGGTCTCATATGAGACAGTGAAATACTTCAACGCCGAACAGTACGAATTTAACCGGTACCGGGGCGCTGTGGGTGACTTCCAGAAGGCCGAATACCACGTGCTGTTCTCTCTAACACTGCTGAACACCTGTCAAAACACCGTGTTTATGATGGGCTTATTGGTAATGTGCTTCATTTGTGCATACCAGGTTGCTACTGGCCAGCGCCCTGTGGGAAAGTTCGTGTCTCTACTGGCCTATATGGTCCAACTCCAGGGCCCACTCAATTTCTTCGGCACCTTTTATCGATCTATCCAATCCGCATTAATCAATGCCGAACGCCTGCTAGAATTGTTCCGTGAGCAGCCAACTGTGGTCGATAGCTCCAGTGCTACTCCGTTGGCCACGTGCAATGGTGATATCAAGTTCGAGGATGTTGAGTTTGCCTACGATGCGCGCAAGCCCGCGTTGAACGGCCTTACCTTCCATTGCCAGCCGGGAACAACCACCGCCTTGGTTGGTGAGTCTGGCGGAGGTAAGTCCACCGTCTTCCGCCTCCTGTTCAGGTTCTACAACTCCGGGAATGGACGTATCTGTATCGATGGGCATGATGTACGGGACATCACGATCGATTCACTCCGCCAGAACATTGGTGTGGTGCCTCAGGACACTGTACTTTTCAACGAGACTTTGATGTACAACTTGAAGTACGCCAGGCAAGACGCCACCGACGAGGATGTTTTCGAGGCTTGCCGCGCTGCCAGCATTCACGATAAGATCATTGCTTTCCCCGACGGTTACAACACCAAGGTTGGAGAGCGTGGTCTACGGCTTAGCGGTGGCGAGAAGCAACGTGTGGCTATCGCTCGCACCATCATCAAGAATCCGCGCATCATTCTATTAGATGAGGCAACCGCAGCTCTAGACACAGATACCGAGGAGCATATCCAGAGGGCGCTTTCTACCCTTTCACGGGGTCGCACCATGCTGGTAATCGCTCATCGTCTCAGCACCATCACTACCGCAGACCGCATCTTGGTCTTGTCAGAGGGTCAAGTGGCTGAAAGCGGCACCCACGAAGAGCTTCTGGCTATGAAGGGCCGCTACGCCAGCATGTGGCGTAAGCAGATCCGTGCTCAAAAGGCTATGGCAGAAGCTCAGGTCTTAGCCGAGCGAATCCGCACTGCAACCACAAGCGATGACAGCTCCAGTCAATCGGATGAAGACCGCAACGTTGCCGGTCATGGAAGCAACTAAACCAGTAATCCCCGGACCGCTAAAATAGGAACAGGGAATGACTCTTGTTTAATCTTTAACATGTTCATACGTTTTTGCATATCCTTACAAGAAAAGTTCCCAGAGGCAGTAATGATCGGAGGCAGCATGATATCAAGTTTGATGTCTCATCTCGAGGGGTGAGAACCTCTCTTTTTTTTCTTGCTTATTTCTCATTTTTCGGTTCATTCGTCCTTCAAGGTATCGTTTTCTTTTTCTTTTCTTTTCTCTTGTTTTGTTGGCGTTTTGGGTCTACGACGCGTACGATGTTATCATCTCTCTTGTCCTTGTTTCACATGAACCCAGGCGCAGAGAGTCAGGCTTGCGACTCCTGCAAAATCAAAATAGATTAATTGCTAGGCTCAATATTAATATAAGAAGAATTCAATTCACGTGGATCATAAATATGTACTTGCTTGTCTGCCTGCGTTTATCTGACCAAGTCCATGCCCACTCTACACAGAACCATTGTCGGTTTCTATAAGATGTCTAACCGTTCTTCTTTCTATGCATGTATATCCTTGATACACGTTACTGCGTGATACGTTTAAACTTATGCAGAGGTACGTTAGTGTGTATCGATATGTAACTAGGTCTCGGGGCCGCTAGCCTCTTCGCCAAGACTCTAGAGAGCTTTATTTCACGTGACACTCACCGTAGACCTTCCGAGCCACCACATCACCAGACCAGGAGAGTATACAACATAGAAACAACCCGAACTAGCCGCTTTGTCGACCACACTACACCAATGCATTCGCCATCGCCGCAACTCTTGCGTGTTATGCGCACGTCCCTAGTCAACACCCGTCGCACCTCGAACTTGACTCGATTCTGCCAGATTCCATCAGCAACTGCAGCACCATGCCTCGTCTTAAACCCTGGCACCAAAATACCATCAACACACCGCAACTATAGCTCACCTATCCGACCAACCCGCATGATTCCACGCTCGCACGCGCATAAACCCGTCAGCCGCGACCGCGGCCCAAAATCCAAAGAAGACACCCAGACAAACTTTGATGCATTGAACGTGTTAGGCAACATCCCTGCGCCAACGACGGCCATTGATGCATGCCTAGATTCTGGGTTCCATCTTAACAATGGCGTCAAGCTTACCAACGGCGATGGGCTGTTGCTGGTCGGCGGTGAGGCATTTGCGTGGCGGCCGTGGAAGGCTGTCGAGGGCGCAGAGAGCGATCGTGTCGCTAAGGATGCTATGCTCAATACCAAAGGGCAGTTTGAGCTTGATGAGTCGGTATGGGGGTTGTTGAATCTTGTCTGGCCAAAGCCTGGTATGTTCGCTCTTCTTGCTTTTTTGGTCCCGGATATGTGCTTTTGTCCACGGATATGACATATTTGAGCTTGATTGCAAAACTGGTTTTCAATTTCTAACAGTTCCGCCACAGACATGCTCATTCTTGGTCTTGGTGGTTCGATGTTCCCTCTCTCACCTGAAACTAAGCGTCACATCAACTCGTTGGGCATTCGTGTGGATATTCTCGATACCCGAAATGCGGCCGCGCAGTTCAATCTGCTTGCTACAGAGCGCGGTGTAGCTGAGATTGCCGCTGCCATGATTCCTATTGGGTGGAAGGCTAGACCTCTCTAGGTGTTAGGTTGCCTTGAGAATAGTATGTATTATATAGATAATTTGAGTATATAGCCTAGGCCGATTCAAAACGACACAATTCTTCTCCCTACATTCCCCGGTTGTACAAAAGGGTAAATGTATTTCTTACACGTTGCATAGTTACATGATGCAGGAACGTGACCTCAGGACGTATCATGTGAGCCGTGTTATCTTATCCTTATCTCCCGAACTCCGCCCCCACGGCTCAGGGTCACTCAGGGTCAAAACAACCTTGTCAGGTCGAAATTGAAGCTCTCGACCTTGTCGATCTGTCCCCACCTTTCCCCAGTATACCGCACCGAGGGTCAACCCGACTCTATCACTTATTTCTATTCTGTCTTTACAGCCATGGCGCAGGAAGAGTCCCTCCTACCTCCTCGCGTGTCCTCTGACGACGGCTCGTCGATCCCAAATGAAGAAGAGGAGTACGCTCTCCTGACCGGCGAGCGAACAGCCGCCGAAAACAAACGACGGGTCTGGCCTTCCTGGCGGGAAATTGGAGTGTTTTCCTGGGCCGTTATTGCAACAATTTTGGTAATTGTGCTGGCTGTGCTCTACCCGCACAAGTCAGTGGAGCAGCCTCAACCCCATCATGGGTCAAACACGACCTGGGGCCCTGGAGGCAAGCCGACGGGAAAGCGGAACATGATCTTCATGGTTTCTGACGGCATGGGGCCTACTAGCCTCTCGCTGACTCGAAGCTTCCGGCAATACACACATGATCTGCCATTCGATGACATACTGGTCTTGGACAAGCACTACATTGGAACTTCGCGAACACGGTCAAGCTCTAGCTTGGTGACAGATTCTGCAGCTGGAGCAACCGCTTTTTCGTGCGGTCGCAAGAGTTACAATTCTGCCATCTCAGTGCTTCCCGACCACTCGCCTTGTGGGACCGTACTCGAGGCGGCTGCGTTGGCGGGCTATAAGACAGGCCTGGTTGTGACTACCCGCCTGACGGATGCGACTCCAGCATGCTTCGCCGCGCATGCTAACTTGCGGAACTACGAAGATCTGATTGCCGCCCAAGAGGTTGGAGAACACCCTCTCGGCCGGGTCGTAGATCTTATGCTTGGTGGTGGACGGTGCCATTTTTTGCCCAACTCACAGGCTGGCAGCTGCCGTGGTGATGATCACGATTTGATCAAGGTTGCTTCTCAGAATGGGTTTGATTATATCAATGACCGTGCGGGCTTCGATAGCCTCAAGGGCGGCGATAATGCCACTTTACCGCTACTAGGCCTCTTCGCTCACGGGGATATCCCGTACGAGATTGATCGACGTACTCAAACTGAGACCTATCCCTCTTTGGAGGAGATGACTCGTACCGCCTTGAAGGCCTTGAGCAAGGCCACCGAGGACAGTGAGCAAGGGTTCTTCGTCCTGATCGAGGGCTCTCGCATCGACCATGCTGGCCATGGCAATGATCCTGCCGCCCAGGTTCACGAGGTACTGGCATACGACAGGGCCTTTGCTGCCGCGCTCGAGTTCCTAGAGAACGACTCCACCCCTGGCGTGATTGTGAGCACTTCCGACCACGAGACCGGTGGTCTTGCCGCAGCACGACAGCTGCACAAGAGCTACCCCGAGTATCTGTGGCTTCCGAATGTCCTGGACAAGGCAAGCCACTCTGGCGAATACCTTGCCGCTCGACTAAAAGAATATAACTCCGGGCCGGGCAAAGACGCCAAGGATTCGACTAAGCAGTCTTGGATCCGACAAAACCTTCTTAAGGATGGGCTTGGCATCGATGATGCTACAGACAAAGAAGTAGATGCCTTGCTCCACCCGGACCCCCAAGTCACTTCGGCATATGTGTTCGCGGATATGATCAGCCGCCGCGCCCAGGTCGGTTGGAGTACTCATGGACATTCTGGTAAGATAATCTCAAGCAGTGACCTATGATAGTATGCTGATTTCGTTATAGGTGTTGACGTAAACATTTACGTGTCGTCTAGCAAGGACGCTTGGCCATTGGTTGGCAACAACGAGAACACCGACGTCGGAAACTTCCTCGCTGAATACCTTGATCTCGATGTCGAAAATGTGACGAAGTTGCTACAAGACACCAAGTCTGGAGCCTTGCAATCATACGACTGGATGGGTGATCGCCTGGGATTGAACTTCCATACCGATGGACTAGACACTTACCATGGAGACTTCAGGAAGCGATCAGCCGATGATTGTGGATGTGGTGCTGCTCATTAAACGATAGTCGTCACTCGACGTTTTTCATATTGTATTGATTTCTGTATTAGGCCGCACTGTGAATATTTCGGGGTTTCATCATCATACATACTTATACGCAATTCAGATCTTTCATTTACTTGCACCTCCGTGTATAGCTGATACTGGACTTATGGAAATAAGTGCTGGCATTTTAGTTGCTATTTTCTCTAACTTCAATGTTGCCTAGTAAATCTTCAATAGGCATACATATCACTTCATCACCACACATTTTTATCTCCAACCCATATCCTAACAAAAGCACAAATCCAAATCACAATGCCTTGGTATTACAACCAGGACAGCTCTCCACCATATTCATCATCTGGTGCACAATATTACTCTCCAAAATTACACTCAGACAATCGGCATCCGGACGAAGGGTAGTCGGCCTCATGGTGACAGTGTACGGCTGGCAGGCAGAACAATCAGGGTCAAATGGCAAAAGGTAATGTTGGAGCTGCTCCGGATCGTTGATACGGTTCAGTTGGCGGAATATTTCGCGGCAAAAGAGGTAGAGCTCGAAGCATGTGTGCTTGCAGTTGGGGTAATGAGTCTCTACAAATAGACACATGTTAAACCAGCTCGGGTGAATGGCACACGCGGCTAATTGCTCTATGTGCCCGTCTGCCTCAGAGAGCTTTATTCTGTGTTGACACGGTTCGAGGTAGAATGTCTGTTTGCGCTCGCTGCTGGTTGGACTGGTTAGATCCTCTCTGTGTGAATCTTGAAAGGGCGATCGGTTGATTGTGGTGACTTTGCGTTAGAACATGTGCCAGAACAGAGAGATTGAAAATCCATATACGAATGGGGCATTGCGCAGTGATAAAGTAATGCCCTATCAAGGGCATAGTAAACAACGCCAGGCTATATAGAGCAGTGATAAAGAAGCAAAAGTGAGTTAAGCATTTCTATGTTGTTACCCTATTTACTCCACATAACTTTGTTTATATACCTCATTATCAAAGGGATCACTGTCCATAGATTATCTACAAGGTCTAGAGCACAAGGCCAAGATATTTAAACATGATCAAATGCAAACTGCTTATAAGGGTATGTTGTGCATACCATATATTTTATAAGATAAGAAAGAAAAAGTGGAAAGCTTATTATGGAAGCCAGCATAGTGAGATAGAGGGAAGCAAACAGATGGCATGGACAAAGCCAAATACTAGATGCCACAAGCTATGATGGATTAATGCCTTTACCCGTATTTAGAACATTAGATGAAGCTATCGTACATGGAAACCATATGTATACTACCTATCTTTCTCAACTGATTGCAATACCTTGTAGTTCCAATTTTCATGTCGAGGGCAATAAAGCTCTCCAACAACAATTATCTTGATTGCGATGTGGTTAGATACTGAAATAAAAAGAGAAAAGACTGCTTAATTGTAGCCATCGCTTATCATAAAACGGCTATATGATCTCTTCTACGAGGAAATCATGGACTTTATGTTTAAATTGAATTATCACAGGCATCCCTTTAGTATAGCCCCATGGATATGGGCAGACATGCTCTTATTTCACCCTATAGCTTAACCTAGGAAACTTTCTCGGATGGCGTAAACCCCACGTGCACAAACCAGGTTGAAGCATCCCAGTTAGAACATTTGCTAGTTTAAAGTAAGAGAATCCTATATCTACCTACACTTGTTGTTTACGTACCTAAGTGCCCTCTCTCTGTTTGTTCACATGCAGATAACCTTCACTTCACCTAATCACTTTGCTTCATCATCACTCATTTCGGTCAAATCTATCATCGAAATCTCGGTAACCATCGAGGTCCATCAGCTGTTTGTCCCATCAGTAGACTAACTCCCCCAAAAGGAAGCAAAGACCTCGAAGATGGACAGGTTTCTCCAGGACCCAGAGAGCGAGAAGCTCTTGAACGAGCACAATCGGGGTCTCGAAACTGCCAAGGCTCTCAAGTGCATGCGATTTAAGCCAAAAATAACACCCGATGAACTCCTGCAACGATTCAAGAGTCGGCAGAAGGCGAACAAAAACCAATCACCCAGGCAGAAAATATGACTGTGGTTACAGACATTGTGGAAGACGAACAGAATCATGCAATCCCGCTCCAAATGCTAAGCGAGAAGCTCCGCTGCCAGGATGGCTCTGTTGATAGAGGTCAGATTTTGCTTGTGATGGAGCCTTACTTGACTTTGACGTTTGATGCCGAATACGGAGTCAAAGTTGATCACGTTTCTGGTATCATGTTCATCCCAATGTTCGGCAATATGGTCCCATCAGCTTGGCGAGAGCGGTTCCCAGAGGATGAAAGCTCTCAGTGGATGGCTGGGGATTGGCTAAGCATGGGTATTGAGTATTTCAACCAGGGCGAATTCTATTCTGCCACTGAATAGTAAAGTCCCAGTAAATTGTTTGACAGCGAACAATGCTGACCAGAATGACAGTTACTCCAAAGGATTGGAGTGTTCGCCGACAGAGGAAGAGATGCATTATCTTCTGTACTACCGGGGCCTGGCCTTCTTCCAGGTCGATGAGTGGGATGCATCTTTGCGTGATCTCGACGCCGTTCCAGTAGGCCCAAAATCCGAGAAAGTTCTTAGGGGCAAAGCCCAAACCATGTACCGTCTGAAGAGGTTCCGAGAAAGCTGCGATGTATTCACGAAACTCTGCAAGAAAAATCCCGAAGACCTCAGTGCCAGGAATGATTTTTGAGAAGCCATTGCACGCCGTGCAGAGCAAAAGAAGGGCGAATACAACTTCAAGAAGATGCAAGAGAAAGCATCGAAAACTTACCCACCACTTTTGGACCATGCGACATGGATTGGCCAGTGATAGTGCGGCAAACCAAAGTCCCAGGGATGAGGCCGATTCACAACGGAGGCAGTCAATGCTGGCGATTTACTTCTCTGTGAGAAAGCCTTTGCATATGCAACTGAGCACCTTGGCCGGCCAAGGTGGAGCAGCACTCTCCATATCAACACCGAAATCGAACGACCACCCGAGGGGGTCAAGCCGTGCTCACATCGTCGATCATCGAAAAGCTGTACAAGAGCCCATCATTAGCATCAGAGATAACCGGCCTCCACAGTAGTGGATTCAAGCAAGTCTCAACAGGTCTCATTGATGGCAAGCCGGTGGTAGACACGTAAATAAGAAACAAACCACTCCATCCTAAACATCCCGAGCTAACGAATCCAATTTCCTAAACCGCAGATTCCATATCGCCTGCATAATCTCCCTCAACAGCTTCGGCAGCTCAATCTCTTCACGAGCAGACCATATCCATGACGCGTGCGATGCAAGCAGGAACCCCGAAACGCGGCACAACTGCGACATCTGGCCTTATGCCTCAACAATTAACCACTCATGCATGAGCAACGCACGCCGCCGCGCCTTCATCGGCGACATGATGATCATCCACGCAGCCGTCGATATCCTCGCAAACGCCGAGTTGAAAATCTGGTACCTGCTCCCCGCCCCTGAATACCAGCCGATGGACTTCCACCACTGGGGCTTCGAGTGCTGCTGTGCCATATGCGCTGACGTCAGTGTGACTAAGCCCCGCGTCCTCGAGACGCGGGTCAGACATCGTGCGCAGATCGCTATAGCACTAAAAAACAGCTCGAATAGGCTTAGCCTAACGCGGGCTGAGACGCTTATTGAGCGTCTGGCTGAGACGTATCCGCACCCGCTGAAGCAGGTACTGCAACTTGGGTTGTGGGAGCCACTTACTTTGATTGCTGGGGTTTATGAAAGACAGAAGCGGCCGGAAGAAGCCGTTAAGGCTGCGAATCGGCCCCTCGCAGCAGTTGGATTTGTGCTTGAGGGGTTTGGGTGGGAAGATGATGTGGAGGGGCCTCTTGTTATTAAGAAATGGGGGCTCGCTATGGATGATCTTGTTATGTTGCTTATTTTTCGCAGGTCTTTGTTTGACGTTGCGCCTGAGAGGGCAATACAGGTGGAACGGTATGCCCGCATGGCTTACTTGATCTGTGTCGGGGAGGAGGCAAGCGTTGATGCAACCTATGGAATGAGCTTGAAGGTGGCTTGTGGGGTTCGTCCCGAGAGCCAAGCGGAAGGATGGGTAGTTTGAGGCTGGTTGTTTTGCCTGTATCAAGAGACGAATATGGCAAAAATGTACCATGTGAGGATTGAAAGCATTTACAACAAATGGTTATCCATGTACTGCAGGCGGATTGAAGAAATAAGGAGTATGAAATTAGGGAAGAAATCACCCATATATGAACAAGATCACGATGGATCTTAGCGCTATTTTCCAGTCATGTGCAGGGAATCACAGTTCATTACCAGAGTAGCGGTACGTTGCATGAATTGGCCAAAAAACAAAAACGCCGGGTAGGTATATTAAACAAAACATGGAGGAAAAGTGCGGATGCGTGTGCAGTCAACCATTGAACATCACCAATGAAGGGGGGAAAAGATATAAGAACCTTAGAATCAAAGTTATTCATTAGGTGATTTGTTCAAGGTTCAGTCTGAGATAGACACGAAGCGAAGTCGCACAATATGTAGTGAACAAAAAAAGCATTCGATGCTATGCAATAAGCACGGCAAGAAAGAAAATAAACATGATACAACAATGAGATATAGGTCAATCCAGCAAAATATTTATAGCGTCACGAGGACAACTAGAGCCACCAGGACTCCGAAGAGCGATCCACGGAGGACACGCTCATTCTGGCCGGCTGCACCACTGTCCTGGGTAGTGGTTCCCTGGGTGAAGCCCGAGGAAGTGCCAGTCTCCCCGTCATCGGTGGTGGCAGTGCCAGAGCTGGAGTCGGAGCCGGAGCTGGAGCTGGAATCGTCAGAATCATTGCTGGTCATGCCACCGGAGCCACCCTTGCTAGTGGGGATGCTGTTGGACACAGAGGTAGACGAAGAACCCTTGGAGGTGGAGGAGCCTGACTTGTCGGCGCCGAGGTTCATGTCGAGACCGGTGGCGCCGAGGGAGCCAAGAACGGTGGAGTTGTTGGTGATGGCGATGTCGCCCTCCATGGCAGCGGCATCGGTGTAGACGTAGGCCTTGGTGCCCTTCCCGGAATCGGCAGGAGGATCATAGCACTTCACGCTGACCTCGCCAACGGTGGCATAGTCGTAACCGACCTTCTTGATATCCTCGCTGTTCCAGTCGATCTCACCACCAGCCCAGTCGATGGTACCCTGGGCGTTGCTGGGCTGACCGGCGGGCCAGAGCGACATCTGAAGACGGGCGGGTGTCTGAGGGAACTCGTACTGCTTGGAGGTCTCGTTATAGGTATCGGCCTTCTTCAGGGTGCGCGCCACGGTGCCGTCGACGATCCAGTCAACCTTCTCGGGAGTCCAGTCGATCTCGTAGGTGTGCCAGTCGTTGAAGGTGTCCTCACCTTCCACGCTGACGTTGCCACTGTTGTGCCCTAGTTCATCCAGTCAGTATTGATTATACGGATCAGATATCAGAGATATCTTATGTCGACTTACAGTCCAGAACACCCTGCCAGTAGTAGTTGGTCTGCACGGCGGTCAAATCGGCACCGACCCACTCGTAGTCGATCTCATCCTTGACATCGGAGAGAAGAATGAAAGCAGTCACGACACCCTTGCCGCGGGAGCTCTTGAATTTGCCGGAAACCTTGCCGTACCAGATGTAGTGGTTGTTGGCGAAGAGAGTACCGACACTCTTGGCGGGCATGGTCATGATCAGGTTGCCATCCTCGGTCTTGACTTCCTTTCCACTGTAGGTCCAGTCGGCAGCGCTGGCGTTACCGAGGTACTTGTCCTGGGTGATGGAGTTGTCGAGATTGTCCCAGTTGTAAGTCTTGCTCACGCAGACGGGCATAGGGGCGCAAGAATCGAGAGAGAAGGAGGCGAGAGGGTCGCAACCACCAAGGCAGTAGGCGCCAGTACCGCACTCACCATATTCTGTATTGAATTGGACCGTTAGCTACAAATTGTGGTCTTGAAGCATGGTGTCACTCACGAGAGCAGCAGGGGTATTTCTCATCCTTGCACTGCTTGCTGTTGTTGCAGGTTTGTGCAGCCAAAGCGGTCAATGACAGCGAGGCCAGGACCAAAGGTGTCACAAAGCGAACCATTATTATGTACCGTTGGTATGTACAGCGGAAATGACAGAATGAAGAATTTGAATTCAACCCACAGGTAAACGAGGGAAAGTGTGGGGAACCAAAAAAAAAAAGGGGGTTGTGTATTAAACGACAGGCAGCAGGTGAAGATTATATTCACTGCAAGGGCAAAAATTAGAACAGAACGAAAGCAGTTCAGAGATCGCTGGAGAATGAAGAGAAGGGGGGGGGGGGGTCGAATAGTTATTAATACTGATATCCCATCCGTAGACTGAAAACATTGAAAACATGGGAATACACAAGTCAACACAAACACTAGACCTAATTAGGATGGACTCCGTCAACCCTGGAAGGGAGGGTCCATGGGTCGGAGTTAAAAAGGGTCAATTCTAACCAGAAAAGGATTCTGATTGGCTACTGTTTTCTTTGCCTTTTTTTTTCTTTATCTTTTATTCTGTTTTCTTTTCTATGGAGAAGTTCGGGGCATTTCCGTCTGTGCGTGGTATTGGATGGTATTGAAGTTTTGATTCTAGTTGAGCTGATATAATCCGAATATAACCTAGGAAGTGTCTAGACCAAAGATGGTATGACAAAGAGGAAGTCGTGTTATTAGCCAAGTTAATCTATTTGATGATTCACGTCATGCGTGACCGTTCAAGTGAGACATCCCCAGGTGTTTGTAGCCGGAAATTGCTGGTATGGATACAGAGTACTAGCGCGAGCTTTGGTACTTTCCCACTTTCTCTTTCCTTTGATCTGCGGAGCAATTACAATTGATCTGCACTTCAGAATTGTATATGAACAAGTAAAATTCTGTTACAATTTATATTGCAAATTATATAGTGTTGCTTTATATATTACAATTGTACATTTTGATACCCCTGTAGGGAGTGACTCGGACTTCCGATGTCCGCTCTCTGGGCATCTTAAGCCGAGCCAATTAGGCCTAGCGAATTCATCTAGTGAAGGCCAAAAATAATGTGACCATTAAGATAAAGAGTAGGTATCAGCCCCAAAATTCGATAATCTTACTTTTCGAAGCCTCACATTAGGCAGCTGCAAGCTTCCAAGAGCTCGCTACACAATATTCTTTCTCGGCGCGCTCGGCACCAAGAACCGTATTCCGCACTAGGAAGCTCACTTTCACCCCCCTCCCCCCCAAGACTTGGAGTGTGAATCTACCCCTACCTATTAAAACGGCGATCTAAGACTAGCTAACCTTATATGCCTCAATAGCCAGCCAGTCGCCAGGCACTGGTGGACACACCAAGCACTGGGCAGGAACGCAGATCGCTAGTGTCGGGCACGGGCGTAAAAGTGAGAGACCGTGGTCCTTCTTCGTTCTCGGTTAAGTCGGTTATGCGAGGCTGAGTGCGGCGATTAAAGGGGGAACTGATAACGGATAAGAATAACGCTCAACCCGTCGGATCCTCGGGTCCCGTAGACACTCTTCACACCCCTTGCCACCGATTGTTTTCAGATATCTTTCTAGAATGAATGTGGCAATCTCTGATCCAATTCGTATAATACCTTGAGATATCTCGACTCTTATTACAAGCCAAGAATGTGTCACGAGGGAATGTAAGGGGATTTGATTGTTGGTGGCTTTTGCTGCAGTCAAACCGGTTTAATTCAGACCTGTGCGTTCGCAGACCTGTCTAGTTCAAAACATGCGAAGACACGTTTTCTCCATGTTGAATTGTGCGTCAAATTCCATGAGCTAGTGTGGTGGGTTGGCGTTTAGTTTACTGCCCCTCTCTGTGTCTACTTTATAGTGCTTGTTCGTACTTAAGGATATCAAAGATCATGGGTATAGTGCTGTGAACCATCATCTGCCATCGGACAACAAGAATGCTGGAAAACGAGCTAGAAAATAGTAACTCAAATATATCAATCGAAGGCTAATACTTGTCTTATTTATTAATCGGTCGCCATCTGACCAGATCAACACACCTTTAGCCGGGCTTTACTTCGCTGTGAACGATTTGCAAGCACGGGCGTTTGTTGATGTACTTGACGGGGCAACGCTTCTACATAACTAGTTGTTTGGTGGATGGGCTATGTCGAGTTTCATCCTGTAGTTGTGGAAGTAAGTCGAGATCTTAATGATTGTTGATTCTGATGTATGCAGGTTGGCTTTGAAATACTCGAGCGAAAGGAGAAGCGGCAGATAGAGCACCGAATGGGGCAGCGCTTCTAGACCCATATTGCTATAAAGTTGTGATTTGCCAATTTGGGGGGGGGGGCTCTCACGGACCAAAGATCGAGTCGAGGTCAATTTCTTCATGATTTGTTGGGTCTAATGGGCCATTGCTACATTTCCATACGGCAAAGCGCTGGGACGTAGGTGGAATCTGATGTTGAGAGTATCATCTTTTGACTGCTGAGCACTCAGGCGAGGTGGTGTGTGTAATGGGTGGCTGAAAAGTGAGCGAAATCAAACGTGAGATAGATAGATACATATGTTAGAGATGCAGTTCGAACCATCAATAGGAGGTCAGGAATAGAGAGAAGTCCTGAGCATATAACACAACTTGTATAAAACCTTATCTATGAATCCCTTTAAGATCATATAGCTCAGAGATCAAAGTACACATAGTAGTGTTTACAAGTAGGAAGGACGAAGCCACAAGGGACGTGATAGATTGAGGCCATAAGCAACACATAGTGAGAGTTTATAGGATCAGATCTCAACTGAAAATTTACATTGGCGACGGCACTGTAGGGTTGAGGTATAAAACATACATTCTTTAGATCTTCCATCGACTCCTTCAACCATCGCCTTCCATCACATGGATCCAAGTCTTAACAGTACGCTACAACTACATGCACAATTTGGAATTCCTCATTCTTCATTCTCGTCCACACCTTGTTACCACCAGCTTCAAGGTTTCGCTGCAGTTTCCCGGAATCCACATATCTTGCTCTTCTCATTATACCCTGATACCCGCATAACATCACTCGCTGTTCAACATGGCTGCTCGAGCCTTGGACAGAATGCGCAAGGCTCAATCCCTCATTCGCGAATGCCATAGCTGGGTAAGTCCTATTATTTTCGTCTGTTTTACTTGAAACTTTGCACTAACTTTCTCGACGAACAGTTTGTGGAAAACGAGGAAATCCTGCTGGCAGTTGAGTTATGCCAAATAGAGGGAAGGCTTGCACTTTTCTTTGAGAACAGATGTTTTGCTAATTCTCCCTGTCCTGGACTTCGAGACGAGCAGCTTCCCCGCCTTGTGAGTACCGAGTGCTCTATATCAGATGATTATGCTTTGAATACTAACATTATATTACCAAAAGCCTCCATCCAACGGTGTCACAGACGCGGAACCCACCGCCAGCCCTACAATGGTGGCCGCAAACCCCATCAAATCAACAGGAGCAGGACTGAAGTCCCTGCAAGTCGCGCAGGCGGCGGACAAAATGCCCGGGTTCAGGCAGCGATTACATCTAGAGGCAAAGTGAGCAAGTTGACCTACCCTAATGCTGACGTCAAAATCCCTCGAGTTCGAGCTGCTGTGACAAGAGCATCACCGCCAACGGGTGTGCTCCTAGATTTCGACAACGACGTGGAACTCGTCCAACTGCCACCAAATATGGTAGCAGACATGGAAGCAGCAAATTCGGCCGATGTCGGATCAAAGGAAAAGCAGCCCTTGCCAGGGGGGCCCGCTGCCGTAAGCAGCGATGAGCCAGCTCTGGGGGGTTTGGTTCGGGTGGACGGTGACGATAGGTCCCTACACCAGACCGTTGCTACTGCGGCCGGTACCGCCTCAGCAGGTCTGGACTCTTCCGTCGGCAGCTACTGTTCTCCCCTGGCGGTTGAAGAAGGTGTTGTCCCAGTCCCAGACCCGTCCCAGCCACAGCTGCCAGGTTCGCCTGCGTGCGACTCCCCTGAGGACGAGTCATCTCATACATCGCAAACATACCAGCGGGTGAATGAGACCACCGAGTTCCAAAAAGGCAATTTTAGTGACGAGTTCCCTGTGTTGACCAGCATAGGAGGTTTCACCGAGGACGTGTTGGTTGATCTTGACGACGATTTGGCTGTTATCCTGCCAGGTGGGACCGACACAGACACTGAAAGCACTACTCATATAGAAGAAAAGGATTTTCTTGTAGGTGGCGTTGACTCCCGGGCTTGTCATAATCTTCAAACCGAGGATTCGGAAGACGATGAAATCGTTTTCCAGGGAAAGGAAGCAAATAGCATCTGTCCGGACTTCAAGGCCTTGTTTGTCAGTTCTGACAATGACTCTCAACCCTCTCATCGTGCTATTGATCTTAAAGCAATTTCCGAGAAATATTCCGAAGTGATCATTCGCAAGTGATCATTTCCTCGCTCTTTTCGTTTGTTTTGCATTCTACAGGAGTTTCTGCATATTATTTTGTTTTGCCTTTTCGCCATGTTATCTGGCATATTGAAAGGCCAAAGAACAGCATGTTGGGATGCCCTTGAGATTTGTTCTTCATGTTCATCGGGGCTGTTTTCTTTTTGCTCTTGTTTATTGATTTTAACTTGCCTATGCTGCCCCGAGAAACTTTAGAATATCAAGGTTCTTGTGGGATGCTTCATGATTTCTATGGCTGGTTTGTGCTGAATCCCAAGTCTTTCCTAAGAAATCTCCGTCTTTTGTGTTCCCTTAGCTGTTTTTACCTGTAGCTTATATTTCTTAAAAAGTTACTCGGTCTTATTCATGTCACATTCCCAGCAAAATTACTGGATGATAGATCATAGATAGGCGATATGATATGTATACTACATCAGGCGAAGAGGAGATAATGTACCATTGGAGCTAGATAAGCCAACAGTTTCGTAAGAGTAACCACGGAACGCCATTGAAGAATATGGCAAATGTGGGACTTAGGCAATATATCGAATACATCGATGGATGGGATGCTTCGACGGCATGGATCAATTGTTTCCAAATTAAGCCAAGGAACCGATATAGGAAAGTGGAGTGAATTACTTGAATGTACCAAGAAATCTCGGGGGATCTTTGTTATTATTGGACTCTTAAGGAGACCAGGAGAAGGATAATTCAAACTGATGATCCCGCTAAGTACGAGGAAAGAGCTGGGCTGTTGGAAAGGATATGCTCTGTTTAGGTTGGAATAGCGCCTCATCTTAATCAGCTAACTATGAACCGTAAGAGGCACTATCTATGATATCACCACGTAAATAACGTGGAAAGGATATGAACGAACAGCGAGAAGATCGTGAGCCGACAACCCCAAAAAACATAAGATGGACACAGAGAAAAGAAATCTAGGCCTTGTGAAATACACAGAAGCCGAAGACAGAGTATAGACAGTATGCTGAGCGCGCTATATACCAAAGTAGCCGCCATTGTAACTACCCAGGACGTTTCTGTCTGTTGCCTTTCAAACCAGAGTAGGGATTGATGGCCGTAACTTATCATATATCTATAGAACAAAGCTTGTAGTTCACAGTCAATGAGTTCGGATTTCCGCCAGGCTGGGAAGGTCAATTGAAAATGGATTATGGCAACACCAAGATAGAGACCTGGGGGCTAGATAAATAGGAAGAACATGATGGCGAGGAGAAAGGTATACCAAAGCACAATATAATGAATTATTGGGCTCTTTGTCTCTATCTCAATGAGTGTTTATACACAACCTCAAACGGGCTGAGACAAGGCCCCGTAAAAGAGATTAAGAAAAGGGAAAACAAAGGCAGCAGAAAAAACGCCACAAAGATCATTGTTAGGTTATATGATGAAGTTTGTCCTTATAACTTCCAAGGCCAGAGGTAGGATGCCTGGCACGTCTTGGCTTTCCCTTTCCGTTTAAGTGCTCACCCTTTGCTTTTGGCCCATTGAGTAAAGCTGCCCAGGTGAGCCATAAGTTTTACATAAAAGAGAAATTGCTCCCGAGGGAGAGGAGAAAAGGGCAGAGAGAGAAATCAAAGATTGGCTCAACAAGTCAATATAAATCAATTAATCTAAACTACATATTCCCCTATTGTGAGTGTCCTTTGGGAAGACCGCCAGAGCTTCTATGCCGTAGCGAATGTATGCCTTGGCACTGCCTCTACAATATACCCAAATAGGAAGACCACCAGTTGCACGATTTTGTTTTATAGTCAGATGAATTTCTACGTTTAATTTTACATACAGAAATAGATAGTACCCTAAAATACAGCAAATATCAAATCGGATGTGCGTTATGTCGTAAGAAAAAGATAGATAGCTCAAGAACGTTGAGCATTAAAAGAAATAAATCCCATGTACTTGATGCCTTCCGTCTTTGAACTCCATGCTTGGCCTGCCCACGGGCTAGACCCGAAACCCCCACCAAAATGTAAAAACAAGAACCTGCAGTCCAGAAGAATGTGATCCGAAAGTGAAGAAGATTGTCCAGGTAAATTCAAACGCCGAGTTAAAGATGGCAAAGCAGAAACTAGAAAACAATGAGCCTAGAAATTAATATTGAAAAAGATTAGGGAGGCATACATCATGTGCCAATAAATGTATCATGTAACTTCGAGGGGATTCACCCTAGGCGTCGTGGTGGAGAAAAAAGTAACGGTATAGAAACCGAGGTAGGCGTGTGCGAAAGAAAGGCCAAGCTTTGTATGGGTTGCTTGTTCATTGAGGAATCTTCTTGTTTGGGGCGACAGTCTTAAATTCGATTCTCGGCTGATAGGGAACAGCACCGCCGTCCTCAAGCCAGGGTCCGAGATTCTTGCATTGACTGACATCAAAAACCTCGAGTTGATGGCAGCCCTCCGCGACAGCCTCGACACCAACTCCAGTGACTCGAACACAGCCACGGACCGATAAATGTTGGAGAGAAAGTAGATGAAGGCCGATGCTCCTGAGGGAGGGATCGGAAATTGCAGAGCCGCAGAACGCCATGTTGAGATACTTCAAATGTGAGCACTGCAATGCAAGGACCTCGGTTGCCGTATCTGATAATGCGCAGCAAAAAGTCTAGCAGCGGTTAGTAAACCATAATATTTCGCTTTTAGTTTGACGGAACTCAGCAAAGAATAGACTTACCAGATCTAGTTCCTCCAGGTTTTTGGCCGCGTTGGTTAGATGGACGATGGCGTTGTCCGTCAGATACGTGCAATCCGCCAAGCAAAGCTTTCGTAGGTTGGTGAACTGAGCATTCCCCCAGTATTTGAACCCTTGATCTGTGATTGTGGTGCAACGAGTCAAATCCATTTCCTCAATCCGACCAGCGGCATGAGACGCAATGTGATGCATTGATCGATCGGTGACATGTTTGCAATATGAGAGAGTGAGTTTTTTCAACTTTGGACAGCCGTACACTGTACATTCTGCTGTCTGGATTGTGGGTTTGATCGATGACTGTTTCTCGCCTATCTTCTGGTCGGCCGGCACTACCCATCCAATGATCCGAGCAAGAAGTGTATCCCCGACCTTGCGGCAATTGCTCAAGTCTACCTCCTGCATATTAGTAGCCTTGCTAGACATGTCAAGAATGGCAGAGGCCGTGACATCCCACACACTCTTCATCTTCCACACGATGGTATTTGGGGCGCAAGTCGCGGCCAATGCCGTGAAGCCTTCGTCGGTGATATGAAAGCAATTGTTGATATTGACCGATCGGGCTCGATTGCCGACAAAGGGACAAATGATCTTAACAATCACGTCATCTGTAACCCCTCGGTTGTAGACGCTCAAATCTAGATCGTGAATCACGTCCGCAGATCTTGTCAAGAGGTCTGACCAATGGGACGACACTGCCCTGAACCGAAGAAGATGGTGGAGCTCAAGGAATTGAAAAATGTTTAGTAGTACACTGTCCGGGAGTAATCCATTAGAGCCACCGACCCGGGGGCGTTCAGACTGATACGACTTGGAGAGGTTGGCAGTTTCGGGAAGGGCGAGGGTTGAAGAACCAGCAGAACGCGGCTCCGTAGAAGATGGCCGCTGCTGCTCCCCTGATACCTCCTCGGGGGCTAACGGCGCCAGTGAGCCGCGTCGACTTCGCATCCGAACTTTATCCAGACCCAAGCTGAAGTAAGGGTCGGGATCGGAGGGTCGTAACACAGCTTGTTCTTCGTCTTCAACGCGCGAGGACTGATGTGGTCCATCCAGTTCGGTTTCAGTGAGGGTAAGTAGTGGCATCGATCGTCGCCGTGATGATGTGATCTTTACTTTGTCGTCGAGGGCGAGATTATCCATAGATGGTTGCGGCTCTGCCTCATCAGACATGACAACATCGCCGTCGGCTGCCGCTTGGAGCCTTGCTTGGGCAGTGCGTTCAACTTGTTCCCGCACGCCACTAGGGCATTTCTTCCAAAATTCAGCAAGAACGTCACCGCCGAGCATCAAACACTCAACTGAAGTCACAGATCGAACTGTAGCGGTTCTCCGAGGTGCTAAATCTAGGCTGACCACCTCGCCAAAGTACTGGCCTTGCTTCAGCCTAGCTTTGACCTCAATTCCCGGTCGTTCAATGAGCCCATTTGAACTGTTTTGGTTTGCTGATGAGTGGTCCTTTTCCGCAAGAACCTCCACCTCGCCGCGAACAATGAAGTAGAGCTCACGGCCCTGGGAACCTTGTTTTATGATGTCGGTAAATGGAGGGAAAGATCGCGGTTGAGCATTGAGACCAAGGTAGTGGAGGATATCGGCAGGCAGACCAGAAAAAAGCGGCAGCTCTTTAAGTAGGAGACGTACGTTGACCAATCCATTTGCCAATGCACTGGAGCTATCCCGCCGACCGGGGCTCGGTGACTTCCTCTTCTTGTACACAGACTTGGAACTCGAGTCCCTATCATCCTCTGCCACGGCTAGACCCTTGGAAAAGCTCTCGCGCAGTCTTTTTGAGCCTCTTCGCGCCGGGCTCGGTAGATCCAATGCAGGCGCGGAGGTTTCTTTCTTTTTCTTTTCTAGAATCATTAATCGCTCTTGCGCCTCCTCCCGGATCGCCCGTTCAACCTCCGGAAATCGAGGCAATATATTCCGAAAGTCGTCTTTTGTCAGCACGACCAGCATGCATCGAGTCCGGGCGATAATGGTCGCAGTGCGAGGACGGTCCATGAGCAATCCAATCTCCCCGAAGAACGCACCGGGTTTGAGCTCGGCATATATACTCTCTCCATCCCGAGATGTGACCGAAACGGCACCCCGCACCAGCCAGTATATTGCCTTTGCCTCATCGCCTTCCGTCAAGATGTAATCGTTGGGTGCGTGGAGTTGTGGGCGTAGGTGCTGTCCGACCTCGATCAAAAATGATTCCGGGGTAGCTTGAAACAGAGGGAAAGACCGCAACCGATCTATCAGTTCCAAGGGTAAAGCTTTGATGTGGGAAGAGGCCAAGGGCGAAGGGC